TGGGGAAAGAATTATTGTTAAATGCCTCTTTGCTGGTGCAGGTACTTAGACTGCACAGAAATATTAACTGCACTTAACTCAGTACAGGTATAGCAACGGAAAGGTAGTTTTGCATTGGGTGATTGAGAGGCAGCTTGCTGCTACATACTGTAGCAGTAGGTATGCATACAATAAAAGAAATAGCAAGTGTATTTTCTAATTGTTAACTTGATATAGTTTAAAACACAATGAACTTTATAGAATGTAGCAGTACAAAAGGTGAATGCTGCAGAATTGGGTTTATTCTTTTCTTTGGGAGGAGCAGGGTATAAAAAGGTATGCAAGTAGGATTAGAATAGCAAATAAAAATATATGTCTGTTTCCACCATGGTTATTTATTATTTTGTAGAGATATTTGTGAATGTTAGACTCCTTTATCATTTCATTATATTTATGTATAAAACAGGTGGACTATGATTTTTTTAAAAAAAATAAATAAGCAAAAATATTGAATGCCTCTGTCATCTTTTTAAAAAGAGCTATTTATAAATGCCTTGTGGGTGTTTAAACAAAACTGTGGAGGCCGAGCATACTTCATAAATAATTTCTGAAATTAGGCTAATACATAATAAACACATACTAACTCCTTCAGATTTTATATTTATTTAGTTAATAGTTGTAATTTTCTAGAACTAAAGTTATTTTTAATCAGAATAATTCAAATTTACTCTGCTTCTTTCTGCATTATTAAAGTATTCCTGATAGATGTGTATAGCAGAGTGATGCCTGCACACACTTTTCATTCTTTCATCAATAAATGTTTTCGTTCTTACTTTGATACACCTTTTTTCTGTTAAGAGCAAAACTGTTGTTACAATTATTACCTTGTAATTTGTAGCCATTTAGGTAAAGTAAGCAACTATCCACCCATGTTTCCATGTTGTCAATATAATATGAGAAGAAATTGGTATCAGTTAGAGGTTGTGTTGGATTCATTTAGTGTCTCTTCTTGCAGGAAATGTACTGTTATAGCATGAACAATAGTGATTATTTAAGGCCTAACTCAGCTTAAAAAAGTGGTCTAGAATCTCCTCACCAGCATTGTTTCCTTCATGTTCTGATTCATCAGTGTCAAACTTAAAACATTGGTGCCCTCTTCCTCAATATCACATAAAGGCAGGACCTGTTGTCCTTGAACATAAATGCAGGGAAAACAAAAATGTGCAAACTATATCCAAGGAATAAGATTAAAATTTGTCACATTAAAATATATAAATTACTGCACCAATTTAGTTTTGTTTATAGCATTATAGAGTTTAATAATTTGTGGCTTTTTACAAATTCAGATATTTAAAGGGGAAAGTAATCATTAGGGTAGCATACATGTGGTTCCAGCTACATAGTTCAAATGTTATACAAATTAAATGTATATTGTTTTCTGTTTTATATTAAAGTTTTATATGGAAATGTATCTAAATTCGAAAGAAAAATTCTTCAAATAATTTCACCAATCTGTTTGATAATTTTAGCAATTCTTATTATTGTAACAATTCAAACAAATTGAGAGTTACATATTTAAGGTTAGGGAGGCAATTTATTGAAAGGTAATTTACAAAATGCTTTCATTACAAGCCACATTAAAATGATATATTAAGTATCTGGAGTACTTTTGATTATCCAATGTTACTTGATCAAAGGAACTTATATTTTTCTCCCTCCAATATTAATCTCAAATCTACACTTTAGAATTCCCCAAAGATGTCGATCAGGTGGTGGTGGTGGCAAGAGGGTTTTGGAATTGAAATGACATGATACATTATTTTCAAATGATAGTAGTTCTTACATGCAGAAAAAGCACTTGTTGACATGAATGGTATAATATTATGCTTAGAGAAGATACTTGAAATTCTAATAATGTTATTACTAAGAGACACTCCTTATAATTTTCACATTTTGTCAGGCACAGAGTAAAACAATTTGTTTGTACAAATTGAAGATATAGGTTGTTTAGGATGACAGAGTATAATGGATGCAATCCATGGAACAAATGTAGATGTATAAAATTTGTTTTCTGTGCAGATGTAAAAAATGCTTGCAATTGATAGTTGTTGGTCCTTATTCTCACAAAGTACCAATTTCAGCTTGTTTGCTTACATCTACATAAAATTTTATTTTGTTTACTGATGAAATAAACAGGTTTTAATCAGCCTGTGCATTAGACAAAAATATATTTAGAATTTTCAATATATAATTTCAATACTATACTGCATGGAGAGTTAAAATGATTAGCTTAAATCTACATTTGAAGAATTATGTGTTAGTGATTTCATACACATTCATCTTACATAAAGAGATTAAAAATTCAATTATCCTTTTAAAAATTCATTGATTTGATTAGTTGTGATTTATTATACATTATTATATTTCAATTTGCATGTGTTTAAAAGTCTCTATTCCAGTGTTTTTCATATAATCAATACCTATCAATTTTTAATCATATCCTGTGTTCTACACCACCCAGAAGGTTTGTTAATTTATAGAAATTTAAATAACACACATTTTTTTTGAAAAAAAAAACCTGTATCAATTCTTCCGGAATGAATTTATAGCCCTCTTCTACCCTTCCAGCCAAAGGTCATTCCAAATGCTATATGTGGAATTTGTCTGAAGGGTAAGGAGTCCAACAAGAAAGGGAAGTCTGAAGCACTTATAAACTGCTCCCAATGTGAAAACAGTGGTAAGTAACAAATCTGCTTTAAATGTGTCTATATATTTAAATTGAAACAAAAATAACAATCAAACTACATTTTTTGCAGTTACTAAAGTTTAATTAGCACATTTGATTCACTGATTTAAAGTAAATTTTATAAAATAAAATCATTTTAGTCTTGTCAGGATCCTTCATATAACCATTCTAGTAATGATACTGGTTTTGATCTAGGACATCCTTCCTGTTTGGATATGTCTGCAGAGCTTGTTGCAATAATTAAGACCTATCCTTGGCAATGTATGGAGTGTAAAACATGCATTATATGCGGGCAGCCTCACCATGAGGAAGAAATGATGTTCTGTGATGTGTGTGATCGTGGCTATCATACATTTTGTGTGGGGCTTGGTGCTATCCCTTCAGGTAATTATATCAATTACACTTGTTCAGAGGCTGAACTAAAATTCAAGATTTGGATTGCTTTTTTCTTTTGAAAAGATTGTACATCTATTATGTGAAGTGAATCTTGTGTTAACTATCCATTCTACTGACATTCTGAGTGTAGCTAAATCTTTTATTACTTTATGCTTACAGCATCTTTATTTAGGGCATATTTAGTTTATTTAGGGGAGTGAATATGAATGTATTATCTTAAATATGAGTACATTCATTACTGGAATATGACTATTGAGTCAATTTAGTGTAGTGTCTTTTTTAATAGGAGGGGCATAAAATCCTAAAGTTACAAATGTAATTTTATAACAAACATATGCTACATACTCATTAATATCCTCACTTCCCACATATAGCTGCAGTAGCCTTTTTAGACTACTTGGCAATTGGTCATCTTTTAATTGACAGCTCTAATTTTGTAGGTCGCTGGATTTGTGACTGTTGTGAAAGACAACCCCCAATTCCCAGGGGCAGAGGAAGAAGAGGGAAGAGCAGCAAAGAAGGATAACTGCATATTAACTTCACAAAAACTAGTGCTAAACTTGGTGCTACTCTATTTACCACTGTACAAGAAAAAACACCACTCAAAAACAGTTTCACCAAATAAAACTTTTTAATTTTAACATGGTGAGGAAGGTTATTCAGTATCTTTTGTTGCATTAAAGACACAGGTGAACATATCTGTATTCTGTATTTTTATAATTTGTCTTATAGATTCTGTTCTGCATAATAATCATTTTTATAAAAAACAATTGCAGAGTAATTACTTTTGTCCTCCATCCTATTCAAGGAAAATATTAAATTCAAGAATATTAGTAGAGTAACAATTCTCTCTAAATCACAAAACATTTCACTAAGTATACAGATTTCTTGCATAATCAATTAGCATCTTATTTGTTTGAATATGATGCTATGATTGTGAAATTAAAGACTGTATTGTAGGAACCAAGCTTAATTTAATTCAAATGAACTCAAGTCAAGTGAATTCTTGAATAATTCTCATTTCTTTCCATCTACAAGGAGTCTGACCATTCCAGCTGTCTAGATAGCTGTTACATACTTTGGAACAAAAACGCAGAATTGTCATTCTACTAATTTCTTATTGATACTCTTCTAATCTTTTATTTCTTCTGTATGCTAAGACCAGAAAATGAGTACGAATGCATGCCAAGATCTTAAGAGAGCAAGTCAGTTTTGGAAACATACTAGTGTTCCATACAGTGATAAGTGATTTAGTTTCTAGTGTAATGCAATGCATGGTTTGCTAAACAGTTTCTTGAAATTAATGTAGATATGGCAAAAATTTCAACTCCCAGTTCTTTTTCTCCCTTATTCCTTTCCTGATAGTGCAATATTAGTTTTTTCTAGTATTTTTCCTCTTCAAGGCATTTATTCAGAACATATTGTATTCATTTTCAAAACATTTCAGCTTCTACCTTTCCAGTGATCTCATAGAACTTGGAGGAATTCTGGAACAAGGAAGCTCAGGTATTGTTCCCTGAAGCTGCTAGTACGATGGTACTTCCTAGTAGGTGATAACTATGAATCTATAATTACATGATTTTTAAGTAGATATAGATGGGCTTGCACTGTGGAAAATGATTTGAAATTAGTGGGCTAAAACTTCTAACATCAACATTTCATGTTTGAAATCTTCATGCTTGCTTATAAGTAATTCTGTATTCAGGTTGCTTCAATTTAAAACAGATTTTAGTGGTGGTTGGAAAAGCAGATGAAGTCTTTTCCAGAATTCATTCTTCAAATCTTTCTCATGTAAGTGTGTGTGTGTGTGTGTGTGTGTGTATAACATTATTTGTGAATATATTAACAAATGTGATGAAATACTGAGCATGAGTTCATATTTCTACAATTTTGAAGTTTTATTGAAAATCACAGTGAATTGTAGCATCCATTAGTATTCACCCTGATCAGTTAAGAGAAAACCATACAAATACTGTGCCTGCTACAATATAGCACTGGGAAAAGTTTACATTATAAAAATAATTATGGCTTTATTTTCCGATCCACAGCTTAAAACAGCATTCAATCATTTGTACAGATTGCTCACACCCAAAGCTATAAAACTAAAAGAGAATTTCAAGTATTAATTTTAGTATTCCAATCAATATAGTCCAAAAGACAGATTCCTCATCTTGATACTCATCTTCTGTTGAATGAAATTTCTTCTGGTTCATTTTCACTTCTTCTGGATTGTATGAGCCACCACCAAATGGAGATTCTACAACTGTTTGATCATAGTACACTTTCATTTCAAATTCACTTTCCAAATGAGAGGGATGACCATAAATTCCAATTCCCACTGGGCGACGAAAGTGTGCTGGCACATAAACCACATCTTGACCACAAGTTACAGACTGTAATTCATAATCGTCAAAACTGGGATGAAGAGTTACATCAGATATATACAAGTCTGCATCACCTTTTAAACTCTGCATCTGAAGCACTATTTTCCCTTCATGATTTAGTCTCAAGTAGCTGTAATTTCCAGCACCAATCTGACCTTGAACTACATGCAGGAGAATCCATTCTTCAGGTACATCCCCATCCTCATTAAAAGCACTTGTTATAAGAAGTCCTTGAAAAGTAAACAGTATTACTAGTATCCTCTTGTAGTAAGGGGCCATCACACCTGTGTTGGATATAAAATAAACCTGTGACTGAAGTAACCTCCAGATACCATGTTCTATCACTCTTGTAAAACAGCAACAAAAAAAACTAATAGTTTAAACAAACTATTAATATTGAATAAATATAGAAAGGTTATCCCCCTTGAAAATCGGTCAGATACTCTTCTGAAAAAGTTTATACACTGAGATGTCAGGACCAAGTTGATACCACAGATCGAAAGCATTGTCATTAATATTTTAGTAGTAAATGTGACCTTTGATAGAAGTAGGCTATTTTGCATGAACATGGCCTCAGAAATAAGCATCTGTGATTTATTTAAATTTCAACAAGAGCATGTAGATTTGTTTTTCTGTAGAACAGTTTTTTTCTCCTTTAAATAATTACACAGCGGTTCTATACCACTATAGGAATATATGAAAATTAGGACTATTCCATACATTACCTGTCATGCTTCAAATATAATTTTATGAACACACTAAACATAGATTGGATCTTAAGCATACACAGAGGCAGCATGTTTTCATAGGAATATCACAGTGACTGCATATCTTAACCTATCTTAATCTATAGATTCTGAAGGCAGAAAGAGTCCCAGAGTCTTACAATACCCTGGAACAGCAATTCTCCCTCTGGGTCCTGAAATCGCAGGACAAGAGAGGAATACACACTGCTTTTCATCACTCAGAAGCAGGCGACTACAACCTAAAAGGTAACATTACTTCCTCATGATAATTTGCTAAGCAGGGATTTTTTGAGGGGAAGCAGGAAAATAGAGAACAGACATAAAAGTGAAACCATAGAAACGCATCCCAAGCACAGGGCACGAGATGCCACAAATAATAGGCAACTTCCTTTCTTAAGTTAAATCCTAATGGACAATCACTTAAATATAAGCCAGCAGTGTGCTGCAGCTGTCAAAAAAGCCAACACAGTTCTAGGCTGCATTAACGGGGATAGAACCAAGATCATGTGAAGTATTAATGTCACTTTATAATGCCTTGGTAAGGCCACACTTAGAATACTGCATCCAGTTCTGGTCGCCAGGATGTAAATAATATGTTGAGGCTCTAGAAAGAATGCAAAGAAGAGCAACAAAGATGATTAGGGAACTGGAGGCTAAAACATACGAAGAACGGTTGCAGGAACTGGGTATGTCTAGTTTAATGAAAAGAAGGACTAGGGGTGACATGATAGCAATGTTCCGATATCTCAGGGGCTGCCACAAAGAAGAGGGAGTCAAGCTATTCTCCAAAGCACCTGAAGAAGCAATGGGTGGAAATCAAGAAGAGAAGCAACCTAGAACTAAGGAGAAATTTCCTGACAGAACAATCAGTGGAACAACTTGCCTCCAGAAGTTGTGAATGCTCCAACACTGGAAGTTTTTAAGAAGCGATTGGACAGCCAATTTGTCTGAAATGGTATAGGGTTTCCTGCCTGAGTAGGGGGTTGGACTAGAGAGATCTCCAAGGGCCCTTCCAACTCCGTTATTCTATACTTTAAAAACCGAATTTAGCCTCAACGTAGGACGTTACCAGAGCTATAAAGTCACTCCCTTGCAGAATCGGACCCCGGTGCTTGCTCGTTTATTTATACCAAATTGAATCCACCCCCGCGAGGAGATTTGCGATCCTGACAACAGGAAAAAGAAAGAGAGAGGCAGAGAGGAGGGTGAGAGCGGTCTGAGGGGATGTCAGAGAAGGCCCACCACAGGGCAGTGGGTAAAGAAACTTAAGAAACCCGATCCGGAAGGAAATCTCCGCCTTTTCGGGAGCCACCCGCTTTCACTTCAATTCTCCCGCTTCTTCAGGGCTTCGTGAAGAGGGGGGGGGGGGGGGGAGGGGGAGAAGAGTCCCGCGCGCGCACAAAGTAAACGGGATCTGTCGCTTAACGCCGCCCGAGTCTTTTAACTCTTCAGCAGCGCCCTATAGACCCGCCAGGCAAGAGGCGGGCCACTCCCCCCCAGCCTCGCGCGAGGGCTCGCGCAGCTCTCCCCGACTTTCCGCCCCCCCCCCCCCCCGCGCCCCACTTTCCCTCCTTCGGCTTGCCCCGGGCCCAATTTGTCCCCTTCCCCCACCCCACTCCCCTCAACTCACCCTATCGCGGAGCCACTTCGCTTGTTTTCCTAGCCACCATCGAGGAGGCCGCCAGAATCTTTTGACAGAACGGCAATCTATCTCACTACGAGACTACTCTGTAGCTTCGCGAGATTTCGACTCGAGCTTGCTCTACTGATTTTTGTTCTGCGAAGCCAAAAAAAAAAAAAAAAGGCGGAGCGATGACTGGGAGGGATTATTCGGAAAAAAATGGTCTCGTTCTATCACCGTGGCAACAGAAAACAGGTCGTGAGCCGAGGCTGAAGAGCGGTCAACCATTGGCTGAAAGGAACTTTGCGGGTGGTGCTGGTGGAATATTGCCAGCAGCCATTGGCTGCTTCTTGTCGTGGTTGTTATTATTAGAAAAGTTTGAAATACATACATGCCTTGCCCATCGTTCGCTTACTTTGCTCAGAGCGTGAAAGTAATTCACAAAAATGAGATGTTTTTAATGGCAAGATAAGGAGAGCCGACTATTAAAAAAATCATCTGTCGCAGCTAACTAACAAGAGTGTAAAATAAGCAATAATGACAATTATATGTATAATTGAACTGATTTGTAGGTAATGCTGCAAGTATGATTGCTTTCCTACTAGCAATAATCATGATCAATTTCTTTCCTAATTTCTAAGGAGCCAGAAACCTGTTAATTGAGTAGTTTTCCTTTCTTATTGCTGTCTGGCCACATACATGAAATGCTGCCTTAGCCAAAGGAGTTCACAAAGGAAGCTGGGGGTAGTGAAGGAGATAGACATATAAAAAAAGTGTGTTGTGATGTCACAATGCAAGCTCTTTAAGTACTTGGTCTGATATCAGCATACAACTAAAGGAGGCTGCATATGAAGTGACAACTCATGGACATGTAAGAAATGGCCTACAAAAAATTATGCCAGAATGTATGTGTGTGTGTGTGTATTTAAATTACTATAAACTTTAATTAAAATACTTCATTCGGTCATTTCTGTTCCCAAAACATACATATTTAAGATTTTTTAAAAAAAAGATATTTTGAAATGTGTTAGGACAATACAATCATAATCAACTAGCAGTGGAATACATAAAATAAGTTTAAGTAAGTCTGAAGTCCATATCTATGTATATGTCCATATGCACACCATAAATACATTTTTGTATGTTGTTTGTGTGTCTTAGTTGTGTGTGTCCTTGTATGTATATGAATATGACGTTTTGCATATATAACAGTATAGAAAATCAGCAACTTAGATTGCAGGAATTGTGTACAATATATGTAACCTAGGTGTATAGTATAGCGAGGTCAGGATCACTAAATAGCAGCCTATACAAAACTATAGAAAACTGGGCACTAATTATTCAGACAGAACTGTATTGCACTCATAACATAGAGAAAAATATGTTTTAATCTACTGTAATTTTTTGCTATGTAAACATAGTACAGTAACTCCCTTGAATAGTGTATGTTTAGCAACAATCATTTTGCTCTTGATTATTTGTTCTTTAAGAAGACAGTCATTTTTCTGGAACCATTCTGGACTTGCAGGCAAACTTTCAAAGATACAATTCTCTCCAGGAAAATGAGATAGATAAATTGCCCACACATCGGTTTTGAACTTGGCGTATTACTCCTAAAGACTGGTTGGAAAAGGAAGGAGAAAAGCATCCCATACAGAACAGCGCAATTCTTCCCGGCTCTTCGGAACCGCTTGAACGAAACCTACAGGAAGACGAAAGCAACGTCTACAATTGGCTCCGTGGCTTTGCCGTAAGCATCGTTGCTGCCTAGGAAACCAGGCGGCCGTCACCTTCCAGCTGGGAAAGATTTACCTTCACCTCCTAATCTTGCATAACAGGAGACGGCGACCAACACTCGTGGCAGCCGCGCACGGTAAAGACAATAACGAGGATCTTTTTCCCGAGCAGGAGGCTGCTTTGGGATTGACGTCCTCGCGGGTTGACTTGCCGCCACGCTGAAAAAAGTGCGGCGGGCTGCATATTTGCAGCTTACTCCGCTGCAGGGATCTGTACTGTATTCGGTCGTGATTCCGTCCCATCCCCGTCCTCCACGGTCGTGGATATTTCACGCCCCACTGTTACCGCGGAATCCTCGCGGGAAAAAGTCTGGACGAAGTTCAGTTCTTCCCCACGATTCTTTCCCTCGTGGACCTCTCTCTCTCGCTGAAAAAACAAGGGTTCAGTCCAACGACGGGCTGCACCGTGGTTGGTTTCTCCGAGATAGCAAAGCAGAACTGTCTGAGCTCAAAGCAGCTTGCAAAACTAAAATAAATAAATAAATAAACAAACAAATAAATAAATAAATAAATAAAAAATAATAAATAAAAATAAAAATAATAAAAAAATAATAAATAATAATAAATGTATTTTAAAGGTACCTGATCTGACCTTCCAAAATCCAGAGAACTACTGGATTGGCAGCAATGATACATAAAAACAAGGGAGCTCTTTGTTGTTGTCCAGTGGTTGACCAGAAATTTGCAAGATCTGGAAGCATTCTATAAACCAATCAGGCTGGGTTCTCATAAGGTAGCAAGCCATAAAATAAACTTACTTCATGGTGCTTCAAGAAAACGTGATTTTGCGAGGACTTTAAGAACTGTAGTTGCAAGGCAACATTGACCCTGTTGAAATATCTCCTTGCCTAGTTTTAAAAGATCCACATGAATCCCAGCTCTTTGCTGCAGCATTTTTTGATTATGTTTTCTTTCTGACCAGGAACAAATTAAAATAAGTAATATATATTCGTTTTCTACATCATAACTGATAATATCTGAAATGTTCAAACGGTATCTAAAGGATTATTATAAGTCTAGGTTTCCATATATAATATCATTTATACTTTTATACTGAAATCCCATGCTGTAATTTATTTATTAATTTTAATTAAGGCACAGAATTTTATTCTACAGATTGCATAGTTTGATGTGCATCCAAGCAAAGCTTTTATTGAGTAACTGCGGCATGTCATTCACAGAACTTCATCAAATTCCTTATTGCTGTTACCATCATTCTTTTTTAAAAAATCCACTGATGAAGACAGTTAGGGTATCTATCTGTGCAGTCTTTTTGAATAGTAACACTAGGAATTCACTAGTCCAGTGGCGCCCAAATGGTTTGGCTCTGGGGACCGGTTCCCTGGAGAGAGGTTTTTCTGTGGACCAAAGGGGGCATGGTTTTGCTTGCTTCCTGCATCCTGTGGATGGGGCTTCGCTTGTTTGCACAGCCCAGTTTCTGGCATGCAGTGGTGGCCCAGTGCTAGTCCATAGACCAGGGGTTGGGGACTCCTGTTCTAATCTGCAAATGCCCAGATGAAAAAAAGAAAGTAAATTCTCAGGATGCTTCCAGATAGAGGCTCTTAAGTGTTGAGTGTTTCAATGTAAACCGCAAAAATAATTGCAAGTGACAATCGATCTTCTGGAGAAGCCAACTTTATTTTAAAGCAGCAAAGATTGTTTGACAGCAATCCCTATCATTGCTTGTATTTAATAGAATTGTTGGAATTTAGAGTTCAGAAATTCTAACTCTTGCCTCTATCTGCAGTCCCTCATACTTATCCAATGGAATTGCACATTTTAGTGTAATATTATTAATATAAATTCATATTTTAAATAGATTGCATCAATCACTTTATCTTAAAATGATTTAAATGAGGATTATTCAATTATTTTTATAACTTTGGGAGACTAAACTTGACTACTTTCACTAAGGATAAAGTACTGTACGCAATATTTTGAATGGTATGTAAATATAAAATACCTCTAAATATAATGAGTGATATAATTATATCCAATTTGTTATGTCTCAGGTACACTATGGAAAACATCATGGATCTCTGCTCCACTGAAGATGGATATAACAGCAGCAGCATTGTTCTTGAAAAACAAGTATTTAGATCGAAAGTGCCAGAATCACATGTTCAGCTGGCTTGTAGCCTCCATTACTGTGCTTTTCCCTTAAATGGAAATGAACTTTGTATTTGGAATATGAGTGATGAGCCCAACCATCAGGTTAAATACAAGTTTCTTTGTGGGCATTAATGCTGAAAATAACATTTTAGGGAAAGCAATCCACAAGCACCACTTGTGCCAATCCTTTTGAAATGAATATAGAAGTGGTTAAAAGCATATGTCCAGGAACAGCAAATATGATACCAGTGATGACGTAAAGTACACTTTTCATATTTAAAGGGATACTCTATCATCTATTTATTATGGCAAACACGCAACATAGTTTTGTATTTGCCTAATGTCAGATTTCTTAGTGCAATTCCAGATGAAATTTTCATCCTATGACTGCCCTGCCACATTCACAGAACGGGTTCAGCCATCATTATCTTTTATTTGTGATATTCTCTCCATATTTCATTTCCTCCCGTTTTTATTTTTTATAATTCCCCCCTCCCCCCCCAAATACAGAATGTTATGGGAAAAATATTTCCTTATTTTTTTTTCCTCTCATTTCAGAACTTTGCCTGCTAAAGCTTATTCTAGATCTAGACTGAAGGCTTAGGTTAGTGTACAAGTAGTCCTCGACTTACAACCATTCATTTAGTGACCGTTTGAAGTTACAATGGCACTGAAAAAAGTGACGTATACTGTTTGTCACACAACCGTTGCCGCATCTCCGTGGTCACCTGGTCAAAATTCAGATGTTGGGTGACTGGCATGAGGATTACAATGTCCCAGGATCATATGATCACTTTTTTGCGACCTTCTGACAAGCAAAATCAATGGGGAAGCCAGATTCACTTAACAAGTGTGTTACTAATTTTAAGAACTATAGAGATTCGCTTGACAACTGTGACAAGAAAGGTCACAAAATGAGGCAAAACTCACTTAAGTTAACATTTAACTATCTTGCATAGCAATGAAAATTTGGGACTCGGTGATGGTCGTAAGTTGAGAACTACCTATAGTTGTTTTTTAATTGTGAGTTGAATTCAGTAACGGTCAGATGCCGGATAGAATATGCTTGCATACCACATGATCCCCAATCTGCTGTGAAGGATCCCCATTTTTCAGGGCAGTCTTAGAAAACTAATGTGAGGGTGGAACAGTAAAGCAAACTGCTGTATCTAATATGATTTTATCTATACTGTATATTTTACCTTAAGGCCTATGAAGAACATTTAAGAAGAAATTTATACTTTTTGATTTTGTGTACTGCATCTGCCTTAAAATAACCCAAATGTTTTTGTTGTTGTTCAGCCATTGCGTTTAATAGGTCATCATCACTCAATTACTGCCCTGGCATTTGGGACCAAAGTTGATCCTCTCCTTATTTGCTCTGCTTCACAAGATTATGTGATAGTTTGGAATCTGGATGAATGTACAAAGAAGGTGCTAGAAGGTCTGCGTTTGGGGATACATTCAATATGCTTTGGACTTCTTTACAATGGAAAATAGATTAATTTGTTTTTGCATTATAATTTGAACAGAACACTTTGGCTGCTTTAGCTGTACCCCTCAATCCACTTACCTGGATACAGTATAAATTTACTGACCTCAGTGGGCCATACTTTAAGAAGACACATAGGATGTTGCGAGAAGTTCTTTAAGATATAACTATGTTATCAATCTTTTCAGAACATTTGTATGATATTAGGATATTTATTTACTTATCATTGTTGACCCTGCAATTGATGGAATAATTTTAATAATTTAATGATTTGTTTCAATTATGGCAGGGTTAATGCCACAAGGTATTGTGATAGGAACACTTCTGGGGATGGTGCTTTATGTTCGCTTTAGTCCAGATGATCAGACTGTGGCAGTATGTGCTGGTAATCGAATCTACATGCTAAATGCAAAGGTAAAACCATATTAGAAACAACTTCCACTGGAATTCCCACTAGTGTAGCTGTTAATGCACACAGAGCTTTCAAATAGCCTTTGCAAAAGTTACATCCATATCCTCCAGCGGATTCCACTGCTTTAATGTAGTGGAAAAGATTGCAGTGGCATAATTGACAAAGCTTCCATTCCAAAAGCTTTTTACAGCTCTACTGTAGATTCATTTTAAAATGCTTTGCAGAGTTCTATTGCATACTTCATTTATAAAATAAATACTTATTTACATATACTGTTTCATAGAATAAGCAAAAGTTGAAAGCTGTTTTTATCATTTTGTAAAAGAAGAGTATTTTTTTGCAAAGTAACAGACAATGTGGTAATAGTAGGAGGTATTTCCAATAACCTTTGCAACCCCATAGAACAATAAAACTGCCTGCTTGAAAATGCAGTATTTTCTCACCTTAGGTATAAGCAGGATCAAAGTGCCAGCTTCACAATATAAGCCAGACCACTTGGTTATGTAATAACCTTTCTCAGTTGAACTACAAATCAGATTATCTCTGATTATTTTTGCTTTATTCAAGAATAAAGATAATAAATTCATTCAGACTTCCACATATAGAGAGAGCAAGAAGACTCACACTATAACAATAACATTGACAAGAGCCTGTAGTACAGTGGACTAAAGCACTGTTATTAACAACTGCTGCTTGCAATTACTGCAAGTTCAAATCTCACCAGGCTCAAGGTTGACTCAGCCTTCCATCCTTTCAAAGGTAGGTGAAATGAGGACCCAGATTGTGGGGGCAATAAGATGACTTTGTATAAATATACAAAAGTATGAAGGCTATTGCTTAATGCATTGTAAGCCGCCCTGAGTCTCCGGAGAAGGGTGGCATATAAATTAAAGCAAAAAAACCAAAAACCATTGAGTAGGTTACAGATCATCCATGCCTTTGATTAGTTAATGCCTATGTGTAATTTGCTTGTTATTTGTGCCTATGGCAAACTAAAGACTAAGGGAAATAATGCAAGATGACACTCTCTTCATCCTCATTTTGATTATTGTAAAATATTATTTAATTAGCCTATATACTACTCAGAATGTGATATAAACTATATAAGATCAGTGTCATCTTGGTTTTTGTGCTCTTGATTTTGCTTGCTGGAAGTTCATTATCATTGATCAAAAGCTATCAAGGAGAATAGCACATCCCCACCAACACTGACAGACTAAGCAGGGATCTCCAACCTTGGCAAGACTTTACGACTTGTGGACGTCAACTCCCAGAATTCCTCAGCCAGCATGAGCTGGCTGAGGAATTCTGAAAGTTGACGTCCACAAGTCGTAAACTTGCCAAGGTTGGAACCCCTGGACTAAGCTACTGTATATAAACAGGGGGCAAATCCAAACTTGCTAGCACTGGTGGTGTTACATCTAGTTGGTACATGAAACATCTGCAGTCCAACAACTAAGTGTGAATTATTTTGATTTAATGTAAATGTGAATGGTACAAAGCTTTTGTAAGTAGTTTGAAATTAACTAACTATATAATGAAATTAGATCTAATATTAAAATAGACGGTAAAAGTAACACAAAAATCATGGAGGATCAGCCTAAAAGCAGCTATCAAATTTCATTTCATATTTAATGGAAGTGATAACTAAAACAGAACTGTGGTTTAGTGGCTTTGCTTAAGAGATATACTATACTATTAAGAGATATACTTATACTATACATATAAGGGATTTTCCCCTCCCTTATATGTAAGGTGGCTTTGAAATGTAATTAAATTTGATCAAATCAGTCAAGGTTGTTAAATTTGTCTGTGACCATATTAGCATCAGAATCTTTCACATCTATTAAAATGTTATAAATAATCAAATGCTGTCAAATCTAACATTTTAAATGTCATTTACATTTCCCCCTGTATTGATGTTAGAATGAAGCAATAATTGCTGAACTAGAAGGCCATCTGGCACCAGTAACTGCTGCTGAATTTTGTACTTGGGAGAAAAATATACTTATATCAATTTCAGAAGATAGAAGTTTTAAGGTAAGGCCATTGTTTCTCTTTTTAAAAAAACCTGTTTGATTGCAGACTTATAAAAGTAAAAACACTTAAATATTATAAAATGGAGATTTTTAAATCAGAGGAATAAGCATTATGAAAAGTAATTCATATTAGGAAGAGTATTACGAACCTGAACTATGTAATGTTAACAAATATTAACTTTTGGTCATTCTGTATTGCTTGTTTTCTGTATTTCTGTGAAATCAGTTGAAAACTTATTGGATTTTAGGAGTATAGAGCAAATCTACCCTGTTTTCCCCCAAATAAGACATCCCCTGATAATAAGACCAATCGGGCTTTTGAGCGCATGGCAATAAGGCCAAGCATTTATTTCAGGGTTCAAAAAAATATAAGACAGGGTCTTATTTTCGGGGAAACATGGTAACCTCCTCTGAAAAAAAATGTTGTTTTATATTTGGTTGAATGATAATGATATTTTACACTCCTGAGAATTTAAACCTTTTAAGTGATTTGTAAGTGTGATTGTCTCTAAAACACCAGAAGCTATCTTTAATTCTATAGATTAGAAGCACTAGAAGCATAGTGAATAATTTATTGGGAATTTTGGCTTGTATATTGTTTACAGGGCATCACATTGGTTGTTTTAATGGTGCTATAAACTATTTAATCTCATGTGCTTTTCAAAAGGTCTGGGATTACTGTATTGGATTGCTAATATATCAGTCAGCAGTAATAACAGGTAGGATTTATGATTTATTACCAACCTATGTTCCTTTTATAAAACAATGTATGCTAGTATTATTCTTGGCAGAATTCATTGCAATGATATGAAGCATAAAGATTCATTGCATGGGAATGAAGAGTCTCTGGGAATCAGATATCATACATATATTTAATAAATAATAAAAATAAAATAATAAAATAAATGAAATGAAATAATGAAATAAAATTATAAAATAAAATAAACAAAAGATTGAAGCCAAAGGCCTCTGAAAATTTTTGAGAGGCAGCTTCTGGAGAGAGAGTTTGAAATGGAGAAGCTGTGAGGTGGGGGGAGGCAGAAAACATAAGAAATTATTTTCTTAACACATGCTTTTGTCTGCAGCACTATTTTGCAATACAAGTGAGTTGCTATTAATATGAGTTTGAATAGTGTGATATCCAAACCTCTGAAGTTGCACATTCTTAATATACAGCTATTTTCAGCAATTCATGAAAACGTGCAGCATCAGCAGTGTGTTCACTTGAGGAAGAATAGCACCATCTGCCATTTTTAGACATAGGCAGTCCATTTGTATGCAAATTCAGGTTAAAGACAAATTTAGGAATGGAACTGGTTCTTAATCCGAGGGACTGCTTGTATATTATAGAACAGTTTTAAATGAACTATAGGTGGTGCTAGAGTTTCTGTTATAATACATTAATAACAAGGATGACTTTTTTTTTAACAGCATTTCCTCTTTTAAGTCTCTTTATTGATGAAGCAAATAAACAGATTATTACTGGATGCGCAGATGGACAGGTAACAAGTGTATGCACAGTGTGACTGTAATTTATTGTTCTAATATTAGGTAGAAAATTCATATTTGATTTCTGATGAACCGGTTTAGATCATAGTTCAATAGTACATACACACCTTCTAGTGAAGTCTCAGATTAATCTATTTCCAAATGACAAGGTAGTTGACCATTGTCTTCTTCCATTATTTTTTTTTTAAATTGTATAATGTATAGCTTGGAATTCCCAAAATATAATTAAATATGGAAAATAGTTCACTGTTTTTCTCTTTTCAGTTTTTAAATATTGACTTCCAGGATAAATATATTAACCTTTTGCATACATAGTGAGTGCTTATTTTATGCTGTAATTGTAAAAGGCAAGTTGCAATATCAGGAAAAGTGAATTTAAGTTATTCTTACTGCAATTTGTGTAGCCTAAACTAAACTTTGACTAGAAAAAGTTGATTGACAAAACATTGGTGACATTTAAGAAACTGAGAATTTTAATTGTAATTATTTTACTGAAAAGATGTGGCATAGCATCTCAATTCAGCGGTCACATGCTTACTACTAAACTGAGATAATAAAATTAAAAACATTTTTACAGTGATTATTGTGGAAAAGTAAGCTACAGTGATTGTATTTTTTTTTCTTTCAGCTATGGATCTTCAGCTTGATTAGTGGACATAAGTATCGCTGTGTAATTCATATTAATGTAAAGAAAGAGAGAAAAAAGTTTTACAACAAAATAACAAAATTTGAGCATTTGGGTAATATTGCACAAACATTTTACAATATTGTTGTTGTTGTTAGTTGCAAAGTCGTGTCTGACACATTGCGACCCCTTGGACAACTTTTTTCCAGGCCTTCCTGTCCTCTACCATCCCCTGGAGACCATTTAAGCTCAATTTACAATATTACTGGTTAGCAAATAATTTAATTGAATAGGTGTTGTTCTAATTTACACTTTTTGATTGGAAGATATTAATTCTGTTGGTAAAATATGTAGTGCATTAATAAAGGATGCAAAAAAATTAAGGACAACTCAGAAATTAAGAAAAAAATTGAAATATCCCTGCTGGAAATTAATTAAATTTGTTATACCAATGTTACCAAAGCATGAAGACAGTGAAGATGGCATGATAGGTGATAATGTTGTGCTTTGAGCCATTTTTTTTAAAAAAATTGATTTATATGCCGCCCTTCTCCGGAGACTCAGGGCGGCTTACAATGCGTTAAGCAATAGCCTTCATACTTTTGTATATTTATACAAAGTCAGTTTATTGCCCCCACAAACTGGGTCCTCATTTCACCTACCTTTGAAAGGATGGAAGGCTGAGTCGACTTTGAGCCTGGTGAGAATTGAACTCGCAGTAATTGCAGGCAGCTGGATGTTAAATGCTGCCTTAGCAGGAAGCATTAGCCTCCTATGCCACTCAGTTTTTTGCTCCAAAACTGAAGCTAAACCACACATTGCTCCAAAACTACAAATGTATTGTATCTCACTTTAAAATAATTGAAAATCTCACCACAGAAATCGTCCAATTAATCCACACTTAATAAAATTTATTAAGCTACACTTTATTATAGTTTTCACTGAACATTTTAGTAATCTATTTCTGATATAATCACATCTCTGCATTTTCCAGATCAGATTCAGAATATTTCTCAGGCATGTACTATAAGCAATATAGAAGAAGATGATGCTGTTGAAACTACCTTTCCAATCCTGAGAATGGAACACTGTGATAACCCAGCAAATTTTGGTGATAAAGAATCTAGGTGAGTGGATTCTTCAGCTAAAGTGCAGGCAATATAACAAAATAACAGAGTTGGAAGGGACCTTACAGGTCTTCTAGTCCAACTCTGTGCTGAAGCAGAAAATCCTATACCATTTCAGACAAATGGTTGTCCAATCTCTTCTTGAAAACTTCCACTGTTGGAGCATCCACAACTTCTGGAGGCAAGTTGTTCCACTGATTAATTGTTCTCAATGTCAGGAAATGTTTCCTTAGTTCTAGGTTGCTTCTCTCCTTGGTTAGTTTCCATCCATTGCTTCTTGTCCTGCCCTCAGGTGCTTTGGAGAATAGCTTGACTCCCTCTTCTTTGTGGCAGCCCCTCAAATATTGGAACATTGCTATCATGTCTCCCCTAGTCCTTCTTTTCATTAAACTAGACATACACAATTCCTGCAACTGTTTTTTATATTTTAAAATACACTGTTTCTTTGTTACATTATAATTTGTAAAAATAATCAGATAGATGTATATAATATTCGTACCATAGTAGTTTAAATGTTACCATAACTATTAAAGGTTATTGTATAGCGGGGATATTGTGATAATTAAATAATATAGAATTTTAATAGAAATATGCACTTTCTAAATCAGACAAATCAAAACAGAAAAGTCTCATCTTGCATCTTGCAGTAAAGTAATACCATTGTTTGAATTGTATCTCATTTAGGCTTACAGCCTTCCTTTTCTGACCCTGCTGTGAACATTAATTCTGGGTAATTCCCTTGCAATGTTGAGCAGTTGTTAAAAAAAAGATTTAGATGTTTTTTGGAAGAAGACTACAGATCTTAAGTGTTAGAAATTCTATCTGTGTGTAATTTCCAGTTCAAAAAGCCATAACATGTAAAAGTACATTATTATATATGAAATGAAGATACTTGAGGATTTTTTAAAAAGTATACTTTGTTTTAATGCAGATTTCCTGATGTGGGTACCCAGTATTTGTGGATTGGAAGCTCTACTGGTTTATTCATAATTAACAATGCAAACTTTGAGTTGGAAGCTGCTTTACATTACAAAGGTGGTATATATTTACTTATTAAACATAATCCATATTCTTTTTCCTCTTTTAATAAATAAATATTACTTTAATTTCATATATGGAAGACTTTGATTTCTGTTTGCAGTGAGCGATAAAAAGCAATAAACAGTTCATTAACATTTATTTGTTTCTTAATTGATTATTGCACTAGAAAAAAATTAATTTGTTTCCCTTTACAAAGATTGAAATTAAAATAATTTGTGTATTATTTCAAAACATATAAGAAATGAAATGAACTCAGGATTTCATCATTGTTTTAGTGAATTTTTAATTTTTTTGTTTTATTTATATATGGTTGCATGTGAAGATTTCACTGGTCTTAGTATTCAGATTGCTGGATCCTGTGCTTTAACAAGGAAGGCAGTCAATGATAAGGTGAGAAATTGATTTTAAAATATTCAATAAAAGACAATCCCTTTTAATTTAAAAACTGCAGATTAACTTTCTTTTATTTATAGTGTGATATATATTGCTTCAAATTCAAATGGTTTAGAAGTACACATAATAAAAATAATATATATATAATAAAATACATATTTTTACAATAAATAGATCATCCAACACTACAATCTTCAACACACCTAAAGTTCTATAGCATCAGTGTGAGTCCAAGACTCTCAGTAATTCCATTACCTTGTTTGAGTTTGGAGACTGGAGAGCTAAAAGTAGAAATTGGCTACAGACCAGGGGTGAAATGCTACCAGTTTGCACCGGTTTGGGGGAATCTGTAGCGGCGGCAGTGGGTAGTTCAGAGAACTGGTAGTGGCGGCAGTGCGAGGCTCCGCCCACCCATCCGGACGCTGTTACTTCCTGGTTTTAACGAGGAAGTAACCTGTTTTTTATCCTCTGCGCATGTGCAGAAGGCTTTACGCATGCGCAGAGGGTCCAAAATCACACATGATGCACGTGCATGTGCGGTGCACACATTTCTGAACTGGTAGGGAAGGTAAGTAGATTTCACCCCTGCTGCAGACTTTCCAACCTCTCTTCTCCTGTATTAATAAATTCTTGCCTCCCATCATGATATCTCTGTCCATCAGTGCTGTAATTCTCCTCTCCCAAATATGGTCCCTCCTGGCTGCGCCAGCTGCCTCATCCAGTCAAGTTGCATTTGAGACTCTCCATTGAGATATATCATCAATAAAGGAGAATGTTCAGGGTTGAGATGTGGGGTCCTTGGTGTTCTCTGAGCTTGGTTGTTTTCTTGCAGATGTTTCATTACCCCAACTAAGTAACATCATCAGTGCTAGAAGAGAGTGGGGTTAGAGATATCATCCTCTGACCAAAGCAATAACATACACCTTTAAAATAATTCCATACCCCCAGCCTTCAATTAATGTACCCATTCCCCTCATATGTTCATCAGCAACAAGCTCTCACTCAGACCCCTTTTACGCACCTTTCACCAAGACTGAGATTTAGCCCTCCTCCCTATTTTCTCAGTACAAGAAAAGCCCATTCCTTTTTGGTCTGTGTCTCACATTCTTGGACTAAAGTTGTACCTTTTTAACTTTCAACCCATCTTCCCAGGTGGATCTTCAATGAGTTGAATTCCATTCCTTGAAACAAATCTCTTTATCAGGAGGAATTTATTTGCCTTAAAAGAAAAACAAAAGCCTTTATGACTGTCTTTCTGCAGGTTTTCTGTTTGCTAAGTTCTATGCTGGAGAACAAAATTGTTTTACTGGAAGTTAACGTTGCTGCTCTCTTGAGATGTCAACAGAATAGTCTCCTTTTAAGTGGAAGGGAGGAAGGCTTTTCTGCTGTTGCAAGGTAAAGGATCATTTCACTTAACCCTATTTAAAGTTCACTCCTTTTATTTATTTATGTTATTTTTTTATTTTTTATTTATTTTTTTATATACTTTCTTTGTTTGAAAATGTTTTTGACAATTTGTAAACGTTCCAGAGTCACTGGAAGTCAGGCTGCATATAATTTAATAAATAATGTAATAAATAAATAATGATTAGTAATAATCATATAAGAGATTATCATATTATTAGAATTATTAGAATTAGAAGAATAGAGATAAAAGAACGTGAAGATGAATTTAGTAACAATCAAATCAAACAGAAATAATAGCGGAAATGGTTAAAAAATGAGTGAAAAGGATTAAAAACTGGATATCTCCTGGAAAATTATCAATTGGTTTGTTTTCTTTATCATTATTGACCTTGTATACCATTACATATTTTGTTTTTCAGCTGTGAATAAATATTTGAAATGAGACTTTAGGCTTATCTCATCTATATTTATGAAAATATATTGCTAACAGACAAGTAATTGTGTATCTAGATAACAAATTTAATTCAAAATATTGCAATAGAAAAACATCTTTTTCACAACTGTAGGATTGACAAATATGTCTTTTTTTTTATTAAAAAGTTTTAGAAAGTTTTACAAATGTTTTCCCATTCCCCGCTCCCCCCTCCCTCCCCAACCCTCCACCCCCTACTTCCCAGAGCAAAATACAGGATATAGCATTTAACAATCATATGCTAACATATGCTAGCTATCTATAGACTCCTATCTCCCTCTTGTACTTTAACTCCCCTTTTACATAACTAAATTTAAATACTTTTCTAAAATCTCTTTGCTCATTCATAAGCTATTTGGAACTTTTTAATCCGATATTTGCTTTGAATATAATCAATCCATCTTCTCCATTCCAAAATATATCTTTCATTTGAGTGGTCCTTCAAATATGCTGAAATTTTGGCCATCTCTGCTAAATTTGCTACTTTTAGTGTCCATTCTTCAATAGTAGGCAAGTCTTTCTTCTTCCAATACTGTGCCACCAAAAGTCTTGCTGCGGTTATTAAATTTAAAATCAGATTAGTCTCTATAACCGTACAATCTGTAATTATACCCAGCAAGAACAGCTGTGGAGTAAACCTTATCTTCTTTTTAAGAATATTTTGCATGATCCACCATATTTTTATCCAAAATGTTTTGATTTTTTTGCATGTCCATCATATATGATAATACCTGGCATCATCACTCTCACATCTCCAACACTTAGATTGCAAACTTGGATACATACCAGCTAACTTTTTAGGATCTAGATGCCATCTATAAAATATTTTATAAAAATTTTCTCTCAAGTTTTGGGCTTGTGTAAATTTTACATTTCTAACCCATATTTTTTCCCACATTTCCATCATTATTGGTTCCTCAATATTTTGTGCCCATTTTATCATACAGTCTTTAACTAGCTCCGTTTCTGAATCTGTTTCTATCAATGTATTATTCAACCTTTTTATATGCATTTGACTCTGATTTGTTTTACCAAGTTTTCCTCATTTTGTGTGATACCAATTTTCTGATCCTCTTTCCATCTAGCTTGTAGCTGTCCGTACTGAAACCAAGTTTGAATTATCCTTTCTTCTTTTAGTACATTCAAAGACTTTAACTGTAATGTACCTCTTTCCATATTAAGAAGCTCTTTATATGTAATCACATCTTGTTTTTGTTCTACACTTATATTCTCTATCGCATGTCTGGGTATTGCCCATATAGGTATCTTATCGTTTAATTTATATTGATACTTTTTCCAGACACGCAATAAAGCATTCCTTAATATATGACTTTTAAAAGTCTTGTCCACCTTCTTGTCATATACTAAATAAGCGTGCCAACCATATATCAAGTCATATCCCTCAATATTCAATATTCTTTCTTCTGTTAAATTGATGCAATCACTGATTGCTGATAGGGCAGCTGCTTCATAATACAGTCTTAAATTGGGAATTTTGAGACCTCCTCTTTCACGTATATCTTGCATTATTTTTAATTTTATTCTCGGTCTTTTCTCTGCCCAAAAAAAGTTATTAATACCCTTCTGCCATTTCCCCAAATTTGCATCCTTTTTGAGTATTGGTATCATTTGAAAAAGTAATAAAAACTTCATTTTTACTACTGCTATTCTTCCCAACAAAGACAATTGTAATTTTTTCCAGTTGTCCATCTCTTTCTGTATTTTTTGCCATAACAGTTCATAATTATACTTATATAATTTCACATTTGAAGTTGTAATATAAACCCCTAAGTATTTAACCTTTTTTACTATTTCAAATCCTGTTTCTAGTTCTTCTTTTTGATTTATAGTCATGTTTTTAGTTATTATCTTTGTTTTCCATGTATTTATTTTGAATCCAGATACTTGTCCATATTGATTAATTATATCTATTAAACCTATAGCTGATTGCACTGGCTGGGTTAAAGTTACAACCAAGTTATCTGCAAATGCTCATAATCTGTAATCATAATGCCTGATTTTAATTCCCTTTATTTTATCTGACTCACGTATTTTATTCAGCAAAAATTCCAAAGTCAAAATAAACAGTAATGGGGACAGGGGACACCCCTGTCTTGTTCCTTTTTCAATTTTAAAGGTTTCTGTTAAGCTACCATTAATTATTATTTGTGCTGTTTGTTTCTGGTATATTGCCTTAATAGATTGTGTGAAATACTCTCCAAACTGCATCTTTTGTATTATTTTCAGTAAAAAATGCCAATTCACTCGATCAAATGCTTTCTCCGCATCCAAAAATATAAGCACTGCAGGGACTTGGTTATTCTTCCCCAAATACTCCAATATATTAACAATTTGCCTTACATTGCTTTTCATTTGTCTCCCATTTATAAATCCAGATTGATCATTGTGAATCATTTGTTGCATAACTGTCATTAACCTATTTGCTAATATTTTAGCAAAAATCTTGTAGTCTGTGTTAAGTAGCGATATAGGCCTATAGTTTTTTGGCTGACTATGATCTTGGTCCTCCTTCGGGATCAAAGAAATAAAGGCTGTTCTCCAAGATGGGGGTACATCTCCGAATTGTATTTTACTAAATAATTCCTTAAGTGGTTCCACCATTTCTAACTGCAAATTTTTATAATAAACGGCTGTCAATCCATCTGTTCCGGGAGCCTTACCAACTTTTAACTGCTTAATTGCCAACAAATATGTCTTTTTATGAATAATGGATAGGTAGTCTTCATTTAGTGACTGCCTTGTTTAGCGAGTGTTTGCAGCATCAACAGTGATGAAAACACCTTTGCGACCAATCCGTGCATTTACAACATTCATAAATCTGTAAAGCAAAGCTGAAGTAAGATCACTTAATAACACTTTGCTTAATAACCGAGTTGCCACCCCCAGTTGTGATCTCAAAATAAGTACTACATGTAACAGTATTCTTAGTGTTTGGTGGAAAACAACAGGTGGCTATTTATACAGCATTTTAAATCACTGGATATATTTAATGTAGGTTATCTTCCATTTAGGTTTTTTAAATATACAATTGTATTATTTAGATTGCAATATCCAAATAAGGTGAGTAACTGGTGGACAGGGATCTGAAGCCAAAAAAAGTGGCTTGCTTAAGATCACCTTGTCAATTTATGGCAGAAAGATTTTGTAATTTCATTGCTTATTCCTCAGCAAATAACCTGCACCAGTTTAGTACAGTTCTATCAAGTAAGATGTGGTTGCAAACATGTATCAAATGGGAAAATCCTTTATTCTGACTGTATTTTGAGCTGTTCATAGATCAGTAATATAGATGATTGCAGTAGCAGGGATCTATTATTATCTATAGTGAATTAACCATTTATCCTAAAAGTAATATCTCTAGTAGTGCTCTTCTGTCAATTGTTCTGAGTGATATAATATATCTTTTGATTTGTGGTTTCAGGTGTCCTCTTCTTGTGACCTCTCCCTTGTACGCAAAGAAGGAAAAAGCCAAACTTGTAAATAAAACAGGTAAATTTGTTAAATTCTACAGTGATTAAATCATTTGACTAATACATTGAAAAGTAACATCTCAAAGCAAAGATTGAGTAAAGGAAGAAACTAATTGAGGGCTATATGTCAGATATATTTACTTTATTTTATTCATTATTTCATATTCTGAAGTATTTACTCCTTATCCATCTCAAGTCACCATATGCCATGGTATTTACCAGATAGGTCCATAAATATTGACCCCTGCTGGCAAACATGTATTTGATGAGTCAAAGCTTTCGCATAACAACTGTTTCTTGTAAGAAAAGTTACTTATGTTAATAGCCATAGTTGGTCCTATGCAGCATCCCCTACTAATATCAGCCAGTTTTGGCATTATACCACAAGTGCAACCAAAGCCTCAATTTACTCCAAGCTTGCTCATGATGTTCTATCCAAACTAATTACAGGCTTCCCTGGAAACCAACTTACTGTTGTCCATATCTCATCACCTTAAGGGTACATGCAGTATGCTGACATACTCAGTACACTATTAGTACAAATGCTATAGCTCAGGGGTGTCAAACTCAATTTCATTGAGGGCCATGTGAGGGTTGTGTTTGATCTCGAGGGGGGGGGGCATGGCCAGCTCGACATCACTCATGTCAAGGGCGCCTGTGGTGGCCTAAGCGCTCTGCCAGCAAAAACGGGCTCCTGAGCTCTGTTTTTGGCTGTGATGGCCTCCTGCAACCCTCAGCCAGCAAAAATGGAGCTTGAGAGGGCCACGGGCAGCCCTTTCAAGCTCCATTTTTGTTGGCAGAAGGTTGCAGGAGACTGTCACAGCTGAAAATGGAGCTCAGGAGTGCTGCAGGCAGCCCTCACAAACTCTTTTCGCTGGCAGAGGGTTGCAAGAGACTGTTGCAGCCAAAAACAGAACTCAGGAACCCGTTTTCACTGGCAGAGGGCTTGGAGCACTAGAGGCGCCCCTGACACGAGTGACATCGAGCTGGCCATGCCCACCCTGGTCATGTCCACCTCGGCCCCCTGAGCTCAAACAGAACCCTAATGCGGCCCTCAATGAAATCAAGTTTGATACTCCTGCTCTAGGGGCTACACTTAATTGTGGGTGTCAAAGAAGTATTTTACCAAAAGACCTAATTCCTTCTGCATGCATCAACTTCTAAAATATAGCAGAAAACTCTCAAGGCATAAACTTTCTCCTGCCGAATTTCTAACCCAGAGAAATAAGCAGAAATATATTTCAGAGGAAGCCAGCATAGCATCCATTACTCTGTATTTTGTTATCCTTTGCAGATATGGAATCACAGTTACTCAGATTGAGACCCCGGTTTCCCATATGAAATTTCCCATTCTTTTCAATGAAAATATATAAATTCAAATAGATTTGAATGTATTTTCTCCATTGTAATCATTGGAAAATACACAAGAAGTCCACGTGCCAATCCCCATGCCTTAGAATCATACAGCTGAAATAGGTTTTTAAACTACCAAGTCCGGCCGGCCATGTCACTGTAAGGATCCAGGTTAAAGTACCTCTGGTGAACTGAAAGGAAACTCAGCTCATTATCAGCCATTGGTGAACTGCTCTTACACTAGAAAATCAGTTCTATTGTGTCTGATGTCTTTTGATGTTACATATTGTTTGTTTCTAAAACTCCATGGAAATACTTTTTTTGAAATAATTTAAGATTAGCTTAAAATGATGGTTTAAAAGCAGAATTATTTAGTCTAACAGATGTAGTGGGAAGAAAGTTACATATCTTTTTGTGTCCATGTAACACTGGAATGGACAATATTAACAGATTAGATGCTGTTTGTATTAGTTTATATTACCTGATATATGTGGCTCAGGATATCCAAAGTATATTTATTTATTTATTTATTTATTTATTTATTAAATTTATATACCGCCCTATTCCTAAGGGACTCAGGGCGGTGAACAGCGAACGATAAAAATACATGTAATACAAACGTTAATAATAAAAAACCAATTAAAATATACTAAACATTCTGGTCCTAGATAATTCAAGACATCCCAGTTTAAAATAAAATCAAAAAGCAATATAAAGGGAAAGTTAGGCCAGGCCGGCCTGCTGAAACAGGAATGTTTTGAGGGCACGGCGGAAAGTGCGCAGATCCGGAATCTTCTGTATCTCTGGGGGGAGCTCGTTCCAGATGGTGGGTGCCCTCACAGAAAAGGCTCTCCCCCTGGGGGCCGCCAGTCGACATTGTTTGGCTGACGGCACCCTGAGAAGCCCCTCTCTATGGGAGCGTACTGGGCGGTGAGAGGCTATTGGTGGCAGAAGGAGGTCTCGTAAGTACCCCGGTCCTAAGCCATGGAGTGCTCTAAAGGTGGTAACTAAGACCTTGAAGCGCACCCGGAAGACCACAGGGAGCCAGTGCAGCTCGCGCAGGAGGGGAGCCACATGGGAGCGCCATGCTGCTCCCATAACTACCCACACGGCCGCATTCTGGACCAGCTGGAGCCTCCGGGTGCTCTTCAAGGGGAGCCCCATGTAGAGAGCATTACAGTAGTCCAGGCGTGAAGTGACGAGGGCATGAGTGACCATTTTTAACGAGTCCCGATCCAGAAAGGGACGCAACTGGCGAATCAGGCGAACCTGATAAAAAGACCTCCCGGCCACAGCTGTCAAGTGTTCTTCTAAAGACAGCCGTGAGTCCAAGAGGACGCCTAAGTTGCGAACCCTCTCCGTGGGGGGCAATGACTCATCCCCAATAGTCAGTGATGGCACCAATTGACTATATCGGGACGTCGGAAACCACAGCCACTCGGTCTTGGATGGGTTGAGCCTGAGTCTGTTCCTCCCCATCCAGATCCGTACAGCCTCCAGGCACTGGGACATCACTTTAAGGGCATCATTGGGGTGGTCCGGGGTGGAGATGTATAGCTGAGTATCATCAGCATACTGATGATACTTCACCCCAAAACCACGGATGATCTCACCCAGCGGCTTCACATAAATGTTGAACAGAAGGGGTGAGAGAACCGACCCCTGTGACACCCCACATACAAGGGGCCTCGGGGTCGACCTCTGCCCCCCTGTCAACACAGACTGCGACCGATCAGATAGAAAGGAGGAGAACCACCGCAACACGGTGCCTCCCACCCCTAACTCTTCCAACCGGTGCAGCATGATACCATGGTCGATGGTATCAAAAGCCGCTGAGAGGTCTAATAGGACCAGGATAGAGGAGCAACCCCTGTCCCGGACCCTCCAGAGATCATCTACCAATGCGACCAATGCCGTTTCCGTGCTGTATCCAGGCCTGAAGCCCGACTGGAATGGATCTAGATAAGCCGATTCATCCAAGTACTGAGGAAGCTGTCGCGCTACCACACACTCAACAACCTTCGCAATGAAGCGAAGGTTGGAGACTGGACGGTAATTAGCCAACACTGCTGGGTCCAGAGAAGGCTTCTTGAGGAGAGGCCTCACCACCGCCTCCTTCAAGGCAGCAGGGAAGACACCCTCTCTCAAGGAAGCATTTATAATCCCCTGGAGCCAGCCTCGTGTAACCTCCCGAGAGGCCAGCACCAGCCAGGAGGGACACGGGTCCAATAAACATGTGGCCGCGCTTAGTCTGCCCAGTATCTTGTCCACGTTTTCCAGAGTCACAGAATCAAACTCTTCCCAGATAATATTCTCAAGACTTGCCTCCATCCTCCCTCCCGAATCTACCCAGTCAGAGTCCAAATTTTCCCGAATCTGAGCGATTTTGTCATACAAATATTGTACAAAGTCCTCGGCTCTACCCTCCAAGGGGTCCTTCCACGCTTCCTGGTGGAGCAGGGAGCGGGTCACCCTAAACAGGGCGGCCGGGCGATTATCTGATGACGCAATAAGAGCGGAAAAATAGTTACACTTTGCCGCTTTTATTGCCACCAGGTAGGTCTTTAGTTTCTCTCTGTATATGTATTTCTTGATTCTTAGCTATGAAGTTTATATTAACTATAGATTTTCTTAATTTAGGTACAAAAACCCATGTAAAAGACAAGCCATTGGTTTTTCATAACAAAATTAAATCATCAGGTTATACATCAGCACCACAGTGAGTGCAAATTACGCTGGTAAATTTAGTTTGTCGCTTTTAATAACAATTTATTGTTTTAATGTTTTATGTGGTATTTTTATTGAATGAATGTAAGCAACTCAGAGTCACCTCAGCAAGATGGGAGGCATAGAAGTTTAATAAATAAATAAAAACAATTGTCTCTTTTACACGCTTTTACACAAAGATTTGGTACAGTATATTTAATGTAAAATGGGCTTAAAGATAAGGAATAAAGAGTTTAAAATACTAGTTTAATTTAACATAACCATGCAGATGAGCCAAAAGTTTGTAATACTATGATTGCCTAAAATGATAAATTAATTTGTATAACCACTCATTAGTAAAATTATAAATTTATTCATTTTGCCCACTTTTAATCTTAGAAGCTGAATCCAACTACCTAATCTGAAGCAATGTTTAATTATTTTTATAAAATTAAAGTTTGGACTCTGAGTTAAAGCAATCAAAATTTTAAATTCTGTTCTGCAAATAACAGACTATTAACTGATTTTTCTATTTTGCATATTTTATCTTGGGTTTTTTTAGTGGTGGAATAGAACCAAAAATGAAATGTTTTCTCAGCCACTTGATACCTTAATTCAGTGATGAAATCTAAAATTTGTTACTACCGGTTCTGTGGGCGTGGCTTGGTGGTGGTGGGGTAATGTGACTGGGTGAGCATGTCCAATTTTTTTTTTTTTACTTTTAAAACCATTTTTTTCTACAACCTTTTTGGTATAAAAAAATTGTAAAAAAATGCTTTCGAAAGGCTCTGATGATCCCAGCTGAGTTGCCTGATCGGCAGAGGCTTTTTTTCTTTTAAATGCCTCAGACGATCCAAGCTGAGTTGCCTGATCAGCAGAGGCTTTTTTTCTTTTAAATGCCTTTGACGACCAAGCTGAGTTGCCTGATCGTCAGAGGCATTTAAAAGAAAAAAAGCCTCTGCCGATCAGGCAACTCAGCTGGGATCGTCAGAGCATTTTGAAAGCATTTTTTCTACAACCTCTGAAGAGGTTGTAGAAAAAATGCTTTTAAAAGCCTTTGACGATCCCAGCTGAGCTGCACGATCATCAGAGGCTCTTTTTTTTTTTCACTTTTAAAAGCATTTTTTCAGCCGAAGAGGTTGTAGAAAAAATGCTTTTAAAAGTAAAAAAAAAAAAGCCTCTGATGATTGTGCGGCTCAGCTGGGCATGGGGGGGGGGGCAGGGATTTTTGCTACCGGTTCTCCGAACCACCTGCCTCCATCACTACCGGATTGGGTGATCCAGTCTGAACTGGGAGCATTTTACCCCTGCCTTAATTAGATTTAAGATATCAAGGGGCATTGCTTTTATACTTAGAAGCATATTCTTAAATCCTAAAGGATAAATGTGTTAAAGATTCCGATTGTGATTCTGTTACTGCTAATCCTCCCTCCTTTGTTAAACAGCAGTAGTTGTGTCAGTCAAAACATATCAAAAATTCATCCCTACAGGGCATAAGGTGTAGTTATGTCAGAGACTGTCCGTCTCTTACCAAGTTTGCCTTTCCTTCATGGTCTGACAGGGCTGGCTTGCTTCAGGTCCCATCAATTACAGTAGTGGACAAAATTGTGGAAAGCTTTTCGGAAAAGTGTATTTTTGAGGTTTGATGGTTAATAACACCACTTTTTTTCCCCGGAGTTTCAAGATAATCATATTCCACTGCTGGAATGGCCTGGGAATAGCCCAGACCTTCACCCAATTGAAAATCTATGGAGCTAACTAAAGAAACTTGTTAGTCAGAAGCGACCAGCAATAAAACCCAGTTAATAGAAGCAACCATTCAATCTTGGTTTCACATTAAACAGCTGCAGAACTAAAAGACTTGGTTCACTCCATGGCAAGACATTGTAAGGCCGTAATTCATGCTAAAGGTTAACCAACTAATAATTGATGCGATAATTTTTGTATATCTCATTTTTCTGTGTTTCACTTTTCTTCTTTATACTATAACTACTATTCTAATAGCAAATCCTTCATAAAAGTTATTGCATTACATTCTTGATTAAATTATCTTTCCATTGATATATAATTTTATGGTACTACTCAAAAAGAAAAGTGGTTTATTAGCTAGTTTTAGAAAATAAACTTTTCCCAAAAGGTTTCTACAATTTTGGCCACTACTGTAAATAACTTCATTTAGTGGAACCTGAAAATGGCTTTCTTTGTCATTGCAACTGCCCTTTGGAATAACATCTCCTTCCTAAACCTTGGCCATTCTTAAGTGTTCCCTAAAAATTTGGGATTTTTTTCGTGCCTTGGGTTGAGATAGAAGAACAGAGTCCAGGAATTGCTAGCTATGTGGACAAATGTTTTTGTTCCCTGACAGTGGCTATTCTGCAGCTGCTTTCCTTTGTATTATGCTGTTATTTTTGATTCTGCTCAGAATCATTTGGAATGAGGGCAGCCTAGATATGAGTGTGAGAGAGGGAGTTATTTAGAGTGGGGCAGCCCATGAATTTTATGTATGTATTGGCAGTACTGTTAAAATATTTATACTTTCTTTCAAATTTTTGTTATTGTACAACATATACAGTAACAGGACTGTAATTGTTGATATAGATAATAGTAGTTAACCAATTTAAAAAAAAATCTCCTAGTTTTATGCATGTAATTATGTCCAAGCTTCACATTGTATTGAATTCACCCATGCAGTTAATGAGTGATTTTTTATAAAAATAAAATTGCCTTAGAAGAAAGAGTTGATCATTGATTAGAGGATGGAGCAAGTATTAATTCTTCCTTCTTTTATATGGGCTTGAGAATTATTTTTTTTTTCTGATGCTGGGATTATCTGGGTAATATCTGCTAAATATTATCATCTATATTAGAGCCTGTTTTTCCTTGTTGTAGCATGCTCATGTTCTCCCCAAATTCAAAAGTAAAGCACAGCAGGTTGACATCAGAATGCAAGAGGAGTTGGAGACGGTAAGTAGTACAATTGTTAAAAGAATACAAAAACATGTTTAATACCAAAAGCATTATCCTGTAATAATAGCGTAACACAACCAAACAAAATATAAAATTTATTTCAACAATTTATCATTTGTGGTATATCTGCCACAATTTAAAATTGGTAGTATAGAAAGAAATGAGCCTTGCTAAAGCTGCTTTTTCTTGCTTCACTAATTGCTCTTTACCCTTTTTTAATTTTGCTTTATTATTGAAGAAGAAATAAGGAAGACTATCCACTTGGAAAATCTCCTCCAACCGAAAGTGTGAGGCAAATTACTGTAACTGATAAACCAACCGCCATATGCTGTATTCAGTATTCAGGTATGGGGGGGGGGGGGGAATGACAACTATCTATGGTTTATTAATATTAATAGTTACTTGATTTAGCACTTGGAAACCTTAAAGTTAACCAGTTCTATGTTTACACATGGCCAATTCTGGCCTGAGAATCTGTGTCTCTATATTTTTTGGCATTTTTTATTTATGCTAGTTTAATTTGCTGTTCTCGTTGTTCTAGGAAATGGAGAATTATTGGCTTGTGGTTTAGCTGACAAAACATTGCTGGCATTCAAATCAAACCTTATAGGAGAACCAACTGTTTATTCAGGTACATTCATGTTAGATTTTTCTATTTTTAGCTATCCTTATTTATTTGTGCTCTGTTCCAATATAATAAAAACAAAATCAAAGTTCCAAATAATAGGACAGAAATGGCCAGAAGATATTCAACAAATCTTCCTGCATTTATGAAAATAATAATAAAAATAGAAAACTCATTTAACAACTGGAACAGATCTGGTTAGGAGCTGGACAAGTGAGAATACCTAGCTAATCTTAACTTAATATGTATAAGAACCGGTAATGGAAACATATTATATAGGTCACAAAGATTGATAATTCCACTTTATTTTGTATTAATTAAAGGCATAGGGATAACATTATCCAGTCTTGGCTCCCTCATTTTAAGGACACATATTTCACTATTCAGTTCTGACAGCAGAATTGTATCCAAGGCTGGCAGCATAGGAAATGTTTTTTTTTCCCTAGGGAAAGTAAGTTTTCCCTTTATTCCAAAAATTATTAGAGTTTTTAAAAAGTGAGGCTTGTACCATTTATTCTTAGCTGGCAGAGGTTTCTTATGGTTAAAATGGAGAATTTTTCTTATTAAAAATGGAATTAGTAAAATATCATTGCTAGGCACTAGGGGACGGCCTAGGATCTTTAACTATATTAACATTAGTAATTTCAACTAAAGTTATGTGAAGTTACAAACGTTGGATGTGCCACTAGGATTTTATTTATATTTTTTCTTATGATCTGTCCAATTCACCTGGAGCAGGAATGGGCAACATATGGGCTGCATAAGGACCATAACACCCTTTTTTGCAGCTCTTCATGTTCACTGAAATTGTGCCACTTAAGTTTATCAGAAAAGAACCTGTAAATGGAAATACAGGCTAGTCCTCAACTTATAGGATAAGGATAAGGACCGGAAAATACATTTTTAAGCAGTGCAGTCACTAAGTGAGGAATCATGTGGACTGTACACAATTTTATAGTCTTTTTGCCATGGTTATTAAGCAAATCATTCACAATTATTATACAAGACTCCATGTGACTATGATTTGTGACCTTCTGCTGGCTTTATCATTGACTTTGCTTGTCAGACACTGGCTGCCAAGGTCACATGACAATCATATGACTTCAGGATGCTGCAACTGTTATAAGTTACCAAGAATTGGATCATAGCAATGTGACTGTGGGTAACACTGCGATAGTCATAAGTGAGAGAACCAGTTACAAGTAACTTTTCTCAGGGCCATTGTAACTTGAATGGTCGCTAATTGAATGGTTGTTAAGTGAGTATTACCTGTACAGTTTTCCACTGACTTGTGTTGGTGAACAAAACAGACATCTGTAAATTCTAGGCTTCATACCTAGAAAAGGAAAAAAAACCAAATAACTACCTAAACCCGCTCCCATTCTCATTTTTGCAAAATAACATCATTTTTACTTGATCCACTGCATGTCCTGGCTGCCCATCCCTCCCCCAATGCATTACAAAATGCATGTCTCCTATCCTGGACACTGAAAATTATCTGCCCTGAGTTAAATCCCCAGCTCTCTATATGTTTATTTTTCTTTATAAAAGTTTGCTTTTCAAGTCCTACTGTTTGAAATATGGTCTATGAAAAGAAAAGAAAAAAGCACCAAATTGGATATTGATATTATTTGATCATCCTAGTTGCCCTCATTTGTCCTCATTTCCCCACAAGACTTCCCTTGTTAGGAAGTCTCTATATGAATTTATGAGTATGCACAAGGGAACATCAATATTTCTGTATAAAAATACTTTGGATTGTATCCAGGAATGTAACTGCTAGATACTCTTTTGGTGCCTCAGAACATTCTGCAGTTTTAGAGAGAGGCGAGGAAAAGAATAGTGCAACATCCTGTTTTTCCAACAGAACTATAGCTGATTAATATGAGATTTTACTCTGTGATTTCTTAAGAATTTATGATTTCATTTTTAAATGTATTTATTTTTATTAGGACACGATGGTGCTATTACTTCAGTAGGTTGGAGCCATGACAACAACTGGCTTGTTTCATCTTCTGAAGACAGAACATTAAAGATCTGGTCAGTTAGCAGCGCAGAACCTGCTTTATGTCTGGTAATTAAGCTTTTTAAGTGAAATAGATTTGGGATACTTTGGATTCCCTTTGACTACCAAAATCATACTAATTGCATAGATTTGGAATATATTACACATTAATATCTTAATAATGAAGGGTTTGGTTTTTTGTTTTGTTTTTTTGGGAAAAAAATCAGTGACATTTCAGATTTTAGTTATGGTCATGATACCAATTTGTCTTTCTTGCAATTCTTGGGCAACTTAGGGTCACTCTAATGTTTACTGATTTTTAGAGTGGGTATGAATCTTGCATACCTCACTGGGACCACCTTGCAATGTGATTCCTGATAATCTTTCTAAGGTTCAAAACAGATTTTCTTTTCCAAGGCATTGTAACAATGGACATGTTTCTTCAAAGAGAGGCTCAGCAGAAGACTGGATGCTTATCTATTGCTATTGAGAAGTGTAGATATTTATCAGTGTCCCAAAGCTACTTTTTCAAGAGGCAACTGGACTTTTTGTTTTTCTTTGAAGACGTTTCACTTCTCATCCAAGAAGCTTCTTCAGCTCTAACTGGATAGTGGGTAATGGAAAGATTTATATTGACAGCTGGTCATTTGCATTCTTTTAGAGAGTCGTTGAGGCCACTTGGGGGTTTGTCTGTGTCCTCAGGGTCATGGGGTCACAGGAGAAAACCAAGGTGCAATCTTCAGGATTTCAACTCCATTCCCACAGCCTGCCAAACAGTTTCCCCTCCATGGAAGTCTGCAAACTTGTCCACCTAACTGGAACTTGGCGGAACATGGCTTTGTTTCATGCTCAGATGTTTCACGTTTCATGTTATCAGATCATTGTATTTGGAATTTTGGGGTTCTTTTGGATTATAGGTCTAAGGTCTTATAAAATCAGAAAATGCCTAAATCCGATAAATAAATGCCTTCCCCTCAAACAAATCTTGGCATTATGAGGCTTTTTCAACAGAAATATATATTCATGTTCTTATAAGTTCAGATTTTGAGTTGGAGGAAGTCACAGTTAAATTTTGGAAGGAGGAACTTGCCGGTCAATGCTGAGAATATTTTTGTTCATGTGGTCATTCTGTATTTCTACTATTAAAAGAAAATGAGAATAACAACCATCTAATGTGGACATGGAAACAATGCACATTTCCTAAGTCTTATACTCAAAAATTAACATGGCATTCTTTCCTGTGTTTGATTTGTTTACTTAACATTTTCAGTGCAAATTATTTAATAATTTCTGTTTCTCTGTCTCCTTAAATTACTATGGTATCTGCAAGGCAAAAGCAAGCAACAAGCAAACAAACAAAAAGGGGAAAAATATTTCTTGGTGGGAGTAAAAATATGTGACCAAATTCTTCCATCCCTCATCATGAGTTGAATTGATTGTGGTGGGATATAAATGCAGTAAATTATAAATAAACCAGAAAACAAAGCCAATAAAAAATAATTGTTGGTGTATTGGAGTCTATTGGAATTGGAATTTCATAATATTGATAAATACTGCTTTAAACTGCATTGAAGAAAAATGTAAGATAAATTAAGATTGATAATTAAAAATACATCAGTTTGAAAAATAAACTAGATGGCAATAGTCTATAAATAAACTACCTATGTTTTCTCAATGAGAATTACAGGATGCATGATATGTATTTTGTACTTTTAATTTCAGGGAAAGGAAATATTTCACAAATCTGTCCGATCAGCCCAGTTCTATTATATAGATACGTTCATATTACTGTCCTGTGGAGCAGAATTTTATTTATTAAGATACTATCTTGACACCAGTAAAGATGAGATAAAACGGTATGTAAATGTGTAGGATTGTATTTAAAGTAGCATTAACAGTAAATGCAATACTGTGCTGTTTTGTTCATGTGTGCAAGCCCTTCAATAGTTCTTTAAACAATATAGAAACACTACTATTAGTGCAAAAAATCGTAAAATGTGAGATCTCTTATGCACTGGCTTTCAGAAACAGAAACATTGGTTGTATAGATTTGTTATAGCTATTAAGGTTGTACTGATATTAGGTATTCATTATGTATGCTGCAAAATATATAGATATTACCTTGTATAACAAATGAAAATTTTGCCACTAATAAAAATAATTATTAAAATGAAAAAATGTCCCAAGAGGGAAGATTGAGTCTGATCAGAATTAGGTGGGGTTTTTTTTTTTTTTGTATTATATCAGATTTAATTTTAAATTAAATCTTTTAAATTAAAATTATTATTGCTTTTTTCTTTTTCCTTTCAATTATATTATTTCTAGAATTATGAGTTAATGTTTAATTAAATATTTTAACAGTTAAAGTTAATGTTTACCACACTGCAGAAGGATGCATAACATTGCTGCAGTTTGATATAGTAATCAGTTATAGCTACTATTTTTTTAAAGTAAATAGTCATTCTTAAACATAAAAAAACTTTTAAGGCTAACTTGGTATGATATTGGTACATACAGTAAATATCAGAAAAGAAGAAAAATTAAAGCTGGCACTGTCTTTTGGATAAAAATATGCTATTTCAAAATAGTTTTAGAAATCAGTGCAGTACGCGTACTTATGATGTGAGCATTACTAAACAGTATTAATCGATTGATAAATTTAAAAAGTCAAGTAAAGATATTTCTTTATTATTTTAATTGAAAAAGAGAAGAATCAGTAATGAAAGAAAATGGGAATGATTGATTTTATAAACTAAGCCATTTCCCATGATGGAATTGTAATACAGGGAAAACTAAGAAAGAAGTTATTACATTACATTATTAATCATTTATGTAACATCAATTTCCCTCATTTCTTCCACGTATGTATCACTGTGCTATTTCTGTCATTTATTTTATCTGGTGAGTCAGATTTGGGAAAAAAAAGGAATGGAAAAAAATGTGGAACATAGACAGAAACATGACTAATGTATTAAATCTCTTATATTAAACTTGTACTTTGTGGGATGGTTTCAATTATGATTGCTCATTCACACCATCATAGTTAGGTATGGGCTAAATAGCATCGGACTGAATTTCATAGTTTTACTATTGACTTTTTTTCCCTATAAATTAGAATATGAGTAGACAGGTTAGCTAGCATGAAATCAGAGGAACTTGAACTTGTTTTGCTGCATTCCTGATCCAGACCAAGAAGTTTAGGCCGATAATTTCTATTACAGAATAAAATCAAAATAAATAGCAGTTTTACTGTATTGAAGATTCATGACTACCTTGGTTAAAGAAAAGAACATAAGTACTTTTGTTTCCACATGGAAACCGCTTTTGAACTTCGTGCTTGATGTGGAAAAGAATGAAACTTTCAGTTTGGGTTTTACAGATTAGATCTTTATAGAAATGACTTGTTCACACTATTATGGAAAAGCAAAAAACTGTGATCTGTTGTCAATGCCTTATTCTACTGTAACAGAAAGAGTTGGAAGTCAATGCTTCTTTTTCTTTTTCTATCTTTCCTCACTTTTCTTCCCCCTTCCCCCTCATTGTCCTCTTATTTACAGTATTGGCCAAAATTGTAGAAACCTTTTGGGAAAAGTGTATTTTTGAGATTTGATGGCTAATAACAACCACTTTTTTTTTTGTTTCAAGATAATCATATTCCACTGCTGGAATGGCCTGGGAATAGCCCAGACCTTCACCCAATTGTAAATCTATGGAACCGACTAAAGAAACTTGTTAGTCAGAAGTGACCCAGCAATAAAACCCAGTTAATAGAAGCAATCATTCAATCCTGGTTTCACATTATAATAGCTGCAGAACTAAAAGACTTGGTTTACTCCATGACGTTGTAAGGCCGTAATTCATGCTAAAGGTTAAGTATTAACTGACATGATAATTTTTGTATATCTCATTTTTTCTATGTGTTTCGCTTTTCTTCTTTATACTGTAACTGCTATTAAAGTTATTGCATTACATTCTCGATTAAATTATCTTTCCATTGATATATAATTTTATGCTACTACTCCAAAAAAAATGGTGTTATTAGCTAGTTTTAGAAAATACACTTTTCCCAATTTTGGCCACTACTGTACTTTCGTATTTTGTATTTTACAATACTTTAAAACTTAATAAAATGTGATTACCACATGAGTGGACAGGTTCCATAGCATGAAAACAGAGGAACTTGAACTTGTTATACCTTGCTGCATTCCTGATCCAGACCAAGCAGTTTAGACCTACAATTTACATTACAGAATAAAATCAAAATAAATAGCAATTTTACTGTATTGCAGATTTCATAACACAGACTCCTGATTCAGGATTGGATCACTGATTTAAAAAGAGTTAAAATCCCCTCCTCCCACTTTCCCCTCTCTGCCAGGTTCAGAAGTCTTGTGCAGGTAATTCATTGGAGGAAAAACCCACCCATTTATTTTGGCAACTCTATTGCTATTAAATAAAAATAAAAAAATGCTGCCTTAAAAGCAAACTCTAGGAAAAATCATACTGTAGATGGGATGACAATCCCATTGCATAAACTGAGAGCCACTCACATTATGTTGGACAGGACCCAGCATATAATACAAGGCCGCAAAGTGGAACAGAAGAATTTGACATTTTAACTATCAAGCTGAGCTTGCATATATTGTACAGGATCAGCTGAAATTCTTTGTCAATTGTCCCAGTATAAGTCTAGGAAAACAATATTTTCCACTGTGCAGGGAAGGAACTTTAACTTTTGCTACTGAGATATATGCATAATTCTTAAGTTTTGCAGATCTTTGTTAGATAGAACAGATGTATTATTTTCATAGGTTAAAGGAAAAATGTATATGTAACTTAGTGCAGTACCTGATGTGCATTAATGAAAATATGGAAAACAAAGATCTGCAGTTCTTTTTTAATGATAACAAAAAGTATATTTTAAGAAAATCCTTTTTTTTTTTGGCAAAATATTCGGATCCTATATCTCCCCAAAGTAGAAAAGGTAAGAATAAAAAAATGATGCTAAAAAAAGGCTTTGAAATATGGGTTGGAGTAAATAAGGATTTTGTTTTCTCTTTTGCTTTATGACTCTACAAGATACATGTTTATATGATTTATTTCTGCAGATATAGAACAAAGAGTATTTGCAAATCAATACAGAAATTTCCAATGGCGTCTACAGTGGAAATTACCAGCCTTTCAGCAGTGAATGATTTCTATTCCTGTATCCTATTATCATTATTATCGTTGTTTTGCAAAAGGCATTAGTTCTTTAATTATAATTCTTTATTGTAATATGAGTAGTCCTCGTTTTACTATCACAATTGAGCCCAAAATGTCCATTGCTAAGTGAGACAGTTAAGTGGATTTTACGACCACAATTGCTAAGTGAATCACTGCAGTTTTTTTTTTTTTTTTTTTAATTTGATTTATATGCCGCCCTTCTCCGAAGACTCAGGGCGGCTTACAATGTGCTCAGCAATAGCCTTCATCCTTTTGTATATTTATACAAAGTCAGCTTATTGCCCCCACAACTGGGTCCTCAATTTACCTACCTTAGAAAGGATGGAAGGCTGAGTCAACCTTGAGCCTTGGCGAGATTCGAACCCTGCAGTAATTGCAGGCAGCTGGTCTTAATAACCAGCTTAATAACAGGGTGCCTTAAACCACTGTACTACCAAGGCTCTTGATAGTTTTGAAGCTAGTGACACGGTTATTAAGTGAACATGGCTTCCCCATTGACTTTGCTTGTCAGAAGGTCACAAAAGGGGATCATTTGACCATGGGACACTGCAACCATCATAAATAGGAGTCAGTTGCCAAGTGTCTGATCACATGATCTTGGAGATGCTGCATCGGTCATAAGTGTGAAAAATGATCATAAGTTTTTTTCAGCACCACTGTAAATGAACTGCTATAAGTTGAGGACTCGCTGTAATAAGCAAAAATAAATAAAAAAGATAAAAAGTATTATGAGCTTTCATATTCTGGTAACCATTGTCATGCCTTAGTGATTGAAACCTTAGATCACGTGGAATCTTCTACTTGTATGGTGCTGACTGTGGAACTCTATGTCACCATCTCTGCCTCCTGTTCTGTTAAAAGTATGAAGGCTATTGCTTAACACATTGTAAGCTGCCCTGAGTCTCCGGAGAAGGGCGGCATATAAATCAATTTTTTTTAAAAAAAGGTTGCTATCCCTATTCTAAGTTATTTAAATGCAGAACATATTTTTCCTGACAAATGAAAGCCTAGAAATGCTGACTGCCATACTTGTAACATATAATTTATCTAATAGAACTTTAACTTAACAGAAATTACAGATATTGTATTGGCAGCTGGGAGTAACCGAGCACTAGAAATATTTGACCTCAACGTGGGCTGTAGTGCAGCAGTGATAAGAGATGCTCATTCTAGATCAGTTCACCAAATTTGCCAAAATAAGGTAGGCACAATCCCTGTTTATATTTCCAATATTTTCCAAAGCACAAATGAATAGAGTAAGTACACATATGAACAAACTAATGATTAAATAATTTCAAACTTTGCAAAGGTTAACTTGATTTATATTTTGAATGCTTTTATCTTGGTTGGGAAAATGTCTGCTACATTGAATGGAAGATCTGGGCAAATAATTCATGTTGGTTTTGCTCTTCTGGATCTGCTTGTGAAGCAATTATAGCTATTCAAGGTTCTGCAACTTCTTTGAGGGTAACTTGTGCTGTGGGTTGGAGAACTGAAGCCGGCTTCTATTTTCAATTTGAATATATGGCATCTTCAACAAAACCTTGCAATAGGAAGAGTTCCTATGTAGAGGTTCATATAGCTCAATTGTGTTCTTCCCACCCCAAGATACTACTTTTAACTTCCCTCAAGTTCTCATTTTAACTTTCCTTGAAAATCAGTTAGTATTCCATGGGTAATGTATGTATGTATGTATGTATGTATGTATGTATGTATGTATGTATTTATTTATTTATTTATTTATTTATTTATTTATTTATTTATTTATTTATTTATTTATAAAATTTATTAGCCACCCATCTTACCACAGGGTAACTCTGAGCAGCTTACAGTAATAAGGAACCAACAATCCCTACTCACTGTCACTCATGCCCTAGTCACTTCCCGGCTTGACTATTGCAACAGGCTCTACATGGGGCTTCCCCTGAAAAGCATCTGGAAGCTCCAGTTGGTGTAAAATGCAGCGGCCTGCATGGTTTTGTGCAGACCTCGGTGTGTGAACCTCTCCTGCCAGAACTGCATTGGTTGCCGATTTGCTTCCAGGTGCAATTCAATGTGTTGGTTTTCACCTTTAAAGCCCTTCATGGCTTGGGACCAGGTTATCTGAGAGACCATCTCTTGCCAGTCACATCTATCCAACCCACTAGAGCAGGGAGGAAAGGAATGTTGTAGAGCCTGTTCCCTAAGGAGATACATCTGGTGAGACTCAGAAGAAGGGCCTTCAACATGGTGGCTCCCTCTCTGGAACATTATCCCCCCAGAGATTAAACTGGCCCCCACTCTAACACTCTTTCGGAAAGCCCTGCAGACGTGGTTCTGCCAGCAGGTCCGGGTGTTGTGACTCCGGCTCCCGAGCCTGTCCTCACGGAGGAAGGTGACTCTGAAAGTGATGAGGAGGAACTGACAAGGCCTCCCTCTCCAGGACCCTCCTTTCTGGCAACACCTCAGGTTCCAGCTGAAGGCCAGGAGGAAAGCATGTCGGGGCACCCACTAATAGGGAGTGATGAAGATCAATCTTGGATTGATCCCAGGCAGCGTCGGAGGGGGAGGCCTGCACAGCAAAGGAAGAGGTGGGGAAGGGCCAGAGATTGCTGAGTCACTGAGCCATGCCCCACAGGGGATAAAAGAGGGTGGGGTTGCTCTGCAGGCTCTGTGACGGACAAAAACTGCATATCGTGAGCTTCGGATGGGATTTTTTCGGAATTAAGGCTTGGACTTTGTGAATGACTTCTGACTACTTTTTGAACTCTTGGTTGCCCCAGCAACGGACTACAGATACGCTGACTCCTGTTTCTAGAGGTGATAAGAAACTTGGCAGCATTTGGAAAGTAGCTGCCAGAATTTTTATCTGCCAAAGGGAATCAGGTCGGCTTGTAAAAATAAATTACTGTAGACGTCTTTTGCTCGTGTGTCTGCCTATGTGAGGTGGGGGGACAGAACACCAGGGAACCCACAGCAGGTTGGAGCCCATTAAATGGCTAGTATGAATTTGTGTTGTCACAGAGGGGGGGGTTTATTGTTTTATTATTTTATTATTTTTCTTTTTATTTCTTTTATATGGTGTTTTTATATCCTTGTAAGCCACCTTGAGTCACCATGTGTGAGTAGGCGGCAATAGAAATTTTCTAAATAAATAAATACAAATGTATTTATACATGTACATTAAAACATAAATAAATGAAAACCAAATATTAAAATCTAATCACATGTGGGGAGGGTGGGGAAGAGTGGAAAGGGATGAGATTTGTTGTTACATGACAAGCCACTTCCATCATGCTGGATATATTGATTGTTCACTGAAATTACTATATTGTCCTATTCTCCCTCCTTATTTTCCGTTTCTTTTGTAAATGCATGTTTGTTTTGTGCTTATGGAAATCATAAGGTCTCTGGAGTTTTTTCAGTATGGTTGTTTGGGGCTGTTTGGTTACATGGAATGTAGATATGCATTCAATATTATTGCCTAAAGTTCAATCTGAATATTGCAATCCTACCAAATGCTGTTCAGTGTTGCTCAACTCAGTTATTTGACATCTGTTTTGTCAAATGTTTCATCTTCGTGAATACTCCAAAGCAAAAGATGTACACAATGTTGTGGTATGTTTGACACATGGCGTGTTTTTTTTAATTTGTTTTGGAATATTATGAATTAAATCAGGAAAGTTTCAATAGATGCTCTATTTTGGATCCAGAGAGTCTGTTGCTTCATGCTGAGGTACCATAAGTTTGTGCACCATTACTTTTCATTAAAAAAACACCCATAAAGCATGTTTGAAATTCCAGTGAGTTGCAAAAGCTATTGCCTGCTGTTGTATTAGCATACTAGGGATTTTAGAAAGAAGCTCTGTTGCACAGATGTAACTAGAAAACTGCAGATCCACCAGTGAGTTCCATCCTCTGTCTTTAGTTTTCTGAAATATTAGATAAATTATTTTATGCTCCATTGGTAAATGTATTCCTTTAGTATGTTTCTTACAATTAATTTGCTCACTGATTTGCACACCAGTCTTCAACACTATTGTTAGGAGGCAGGTGCTCTTGGTTTCAATTATATATCTAATTCCTAGAATTCAAGCTTAGTTCAATTATTAAGAATATTAAGAAAAAAAAGTAAATATTTTTTTTTTCTGATTGCTTTATAATTTAGACTTGTTTTTTATTTTTAAACTATAAACTACATCGTAATCTTAGATACTTGTGAATATCATGTGAAGGGAAGTAAGTCTAAACAATACTTTCCTACCTCCTTCCTATGTGCTAATTTATTCCATGTTAGTACAATGCATGTTTAGACAGTATGACATTGTACATAAAGTATGAATTGGCAAGATGTGTAACAGAACCACTGATTTCACTTGTAAAATTTTATTAGGAGACATTCATTTTTATAGATTTGGATTGATTGTTCTTCTTAAGTTTTCCATCCCATGAATAATGCTTTATTTAAGGAAACATTAGTATCCTGCAGAGTTTTATATTCAGTAATTGTATGCTTCCTTTTCTAATATATGCATATATATTTTAATCACTGTTCCAGACTATTTATTGACGTGACAAGTTTCCTGCTGTCAACTAGTAAATTGTAAATATGTACACACACATCATGTTTATATACTTGTAGTAACATTTCATATATTTATGGAGTCACACTAACTATGATCAATACTTAAATAGTGCAATGGTGTTGAGTTCCAGTAAGTACATGGGTCAATCAACATTGGATCAGATCTAGGGTCATTGGCATTTATGCAGAAGACTGCCTTTAAAATCTTAATTATGGTTTCAGGGTTCTGTGAATCTCTATGATCTAAGGAAACCTAAAAGTAATTATTTTCATGGCTTAACCTCAAATCATGATTTGTGACTCCACAATATAAATCTGAATTTCTGCCCTAATCTGCCACTTTACAAGAGATTACTAACAGAAGCTTGGAAGATAAGAATTTATGAATCACTGTTACTGTTCCCATTTAAAATATTTGTACTCTAGAAATGTGCTGACTTGGATACTTTTGAAGCTGAGTGGTAAATAAATAAAAACAAAAGCAATGTTTTCGCTTCTAATGATTTTAATTTTTGTAGAGTAGATGTAATGTGACTTCTTAAATATATTAGCAAAACATATATGGTTTGATATATATGTTGTCTAAATTAGCCTTTGATTGTTGAGAGGCTAGGTTGCAATGTTTGCAAGTACCTTTTTCTTTACCATGATCTAATTAAAAAGCTCTCTAATCCTTGTTTAATATAATCAGAGCAACATCAATTAAATAATTCAAAAATCTGGTGTTCACTTTAGCTGGTTTTCTAGAATTCTTTGAGAGCTTCATCTATATATAAAGTTCAGGTCTGCTATCTGATATTGGTGGTGTATCCATGCTCCAGAATGTCTTTGTTTTGCAGACAAAGTCTTAAACTATATGGATCTTGTCATTTTCCTTCTTCATCTTAGCCTTTAAAATTAGTTCAACATACCTTTCCTCTATTATCTTTTAGTTTAGTCAGTGGCAATTCTGTAAGTGATAAAATTTTATATTTTTTCCTTTGGGATTTTAACTGTGAGATGATTGTTTGGACAGACTTTACATGCAGCTATTTAAAAACATATTCTAAACTAGGGCTTCTTTTTGTAAGCTATAGTACTCTGAAAACTAGGCTACAGTTATTTTTTTTTTATTTATTTATTTATTTATTTATTTATTTATTTATTTATTTATTTATTTATTTAATTTGTATACCGCCCTTCTCCCCGAAGGGACTCAGGGCAGTGAACAGCCAAAATTAAAAAACATACAAATACAAAAGTTAAGATAATTAAAAAGAATTAAATCATTGGCTTCCCAATTTAAAACCCCCAAGTCCATAAAATTTAAAATCCCAATTAAGAGCCATTTAGGCTAGGCCGGCTTGGTGGAATAAATAAGTCTTCAGGGCCTTACGGAAGGTCCGGAGGTCCGGGATCAGCCGTATTCCAGGAGGCAGCTCGTTCCACAGGGCGGGTGCCCCACAGAGAAGGCTCTCCCCCTGGGGGCCACCAGCTGACATTGCCTGACCGACGGCACCCTGAGGAGGCCCTCTCTGTGAGAGCGTATTGGTTGGTGGGAGGTTATCGGTAGCAGCAAGCGATCTCGCAAATATCCTGGCCCTAAGCCATGGAGCGCTTTAAAGATGAGAACCAATACCTTAAAGCGCATCCAGAAGACCACCGGGAGCCAATGCAGCTCGCGCAAGAGAGGTGTTACATGGGAGCGCCACGTCGCTCCCATAATCACCCGCGCGGCCACATTCTGCACCAGCTGGAGCCTCCGGGTGCTCCTCAAGGGGAGCCCCATGTAGAGAGCGTTGCAGTAGTCGAGGTGTGACGTGACGAGGGCATGAGTGACGTGCACAAGGAGTCCCGATCCAGAAAGGGGCGCAACTGGCGTATCAGGCGGACCTGATAAAAAGCCCCCCTGGCCACGGCTGTCATATGCTCTTCTAAAGACAGCCGTGTGTCCAGGAGGACACCCAAGTTGCGAGCCCCCTCTGTGGGGGTCAGTGACTCGCCCCCAATAGCCAGCGAGGGCACCAGCTGGCTATATCGGGACGCCGGTATCCACAGCCACTCGGTCTTGGAAGGGTTGAGTCGAAGCCTGTTCCTCCCCATCCATTTAATTCCATTTAATTCCAATTAAAATTCCATTTCTGCAATAGAAATAAATACATGGTACTGACTCAATTGATTCAATCTACAAAAAACTCTCAAATCAGAAGGAGATTGAGTAGCAAATAGCATAATACTGCCGGCTACTTCTGCTGGCTGCCAGCAATTTGGCAGTTTGAGTCTCACCAGCTCAAGGTTGACTCAGATTTCCAACCTTCCAAAGTCAGTAAAATGAGGACCCAGATTGTTGGGGAACAATATGCTGACTCTTTAAACCACTTAGAATGGGCTGTGAAGCAGTATATAAGTCTAAGTACTATTGCTATTGCTATAATATGAATTAAGTGTACTCGTCCAAGTAAGCCATAGGATATGGAAGATTCTGATTTAAGTGTTTTAGAAGGTGGAAGAGACTGCTCTATTAACTATTTTTTTTTAAAAAAAGCTTTATGCATCTATAACATGAACCAAACTTTGGACTAGAAGTTGTATGGGTGAAATTTTGTATTTGGTTGCTTATCAACCAAATCTTTTAATTTTAGGCTAAAGACATTTAACACTGAGTTGCTTTGGCAGTATGTGCCAATAATTTAAGGAATACAGACACACTGGGATATTATCTAATTTATCCCTTACTATGCTGTTAAGCTCATTAGTCAGGCTGCAGACAGCCATCCGTCTTGAATGTCTTTTTTGTTGTAGCATTGAAACAGTTCCTTAAAATGACTTTAGCATAGTTTTTTTATGTTGTTTTATGAGACTGGTCTGTTAAAACACTTAACTGTACTAAACTCTACAAGTATCATTTGTTATATGTTGGCCCTTTCCTCTGTTTTATTTCCCAATGTCAGCAAAATGACTTCAAGTTAGTTAAGCAGAGCTCACTTTGAAATTTGTGGACATATATCTCCATGGGGAATGAAATTGGTCTTATTTTCACAAAAAATGGAAGATTACAATCCTAAATTAATCTTTTCAACATATATTCAACCCAGGGGTGGATTCTACTTACCTTTACTACTGGTTCGCAACGGGATCGCGCTCACTGAAGGGTATTGTAATCTTCTGAAGAAGATCATGATATGGGATTGAATAACTAGTTCCTCTGGCAGAATAGTACCAGAATAATGCCAATGGATTCCTGTTTAATAGAAATAAGAAATATGCTTTATTTACATTCAATTTACATTTGAAATGCTACTTTTGTAAATCTCTGGTCTAGAGAGATAGTGTTCATGATGCCAGAACTTTCAGAAAGAATCACCACTTAGATTCCTGTGCCTGGCTCTTTGACTAATAAAGTTAATGAGGCATCCTATTGTCTACTGGACTACACACTGACCTTTGAATCAGAGCTTTGGATGAGATACAATGACATTTTTAATACAATCCAGCAAGCCTAAACAGGATTATAAATCCACTGTTCCATTTCTTAGCCTCGCATTAGCCACAAGGTACTCTGTGTAAAGTTCCATAATAAATATAGTTACAAAACTATGTTTCTTGGATGCTTTTTGATCATCCCCAGACCTCAAAAATGTTCCAGTTTCTTTTGAATGCAAGGGATTATTGTCAATTTATCTCAGAGCTCTGCTGTAATTATATTGTTTAAAGCACGTTTAACCTTAATCTCATTTTAACAAGGGATTGGCAAACTTTGTAGATGCCATGTGCCCTTATATAATCTCACATGATGACCCAGAAACCTGAACATTTTTTTTAAAAAAGGGAAACTCGGTTCTTAGGAAATCATTAAATCTTACCTTCCATGATTTCATGCAAACGAGGAAAGCCCTGAGATGTCAAACAAATGTCAAAATCTGTTGACAAATTTGGCTTTCTTGTACAAGAATTTGTGAGATTTCATAGAATCATGGAAATGTTGTAAAATTGGGTGTGGTCACCTGTTAATCTGCTTAATGACCATCGCAGCTTATAAACGTAATTGCAAGTTCAATTATGGTTGTAAATCCATTAAATTAAAGTAATTTAATTTGTCTTTCTGCCTTTCTTTCAACATAGTACCATCAGCATTCCCCGTTTTGGACTTATTTTAAATGATAAAAAAAAATATGAAATGTTATAAATAAGCAAATAATAACCTGGTCTTTTGGGTCTTTCAATGGTTGTTTAATGCTTCAAATATTTATATGATTCCTTTTAATCAGAAAAGGATTAGAAAAGCAATTAATTCCTAATAAAGATTTATCTTAATGAAAAAAGATTGTAAAACAGTTTGAAATATACTTAGAAAAAAGTTGATTTTCATTCAATTGCAAAGTAAAATTGTCTCCAAAGAAGAGACATAGATGCCTATAAATGAACTTTCTATAATTCCAGAACCATAGTTGACTCATGTTGCTGATGAAAACCTGTTTCAATTCTCAAAAATGGCTGCCAAAAGGCAAATTCAAAAAAACTTAAAGCCTTAAGATGGTGATTGATCTAGGACAGGGGTCTGCAACCTTAAACACTTAAAGAGCCATTTGGACCCGTTTCCCACCGAAAAGAAACACCGGGAGCCACAAAAACCCTTCCCATGCCTGACTATTTCATGAGCGGCCACAAAACTAGCATATGTAGTTGAATAAAAGGTTCTGTTTTCTTCTGAAACTTTTCTTTTCTTGGATTTATCCATGGTTGGCCTACCAGGGGTTGAAAAGCTCAATAAATTGCATGCCGGAGGGTGTCGCACATTGGCAGTTGTGACGCATATTTTGAATGACAGGGAGCCACAGCAGAGGGGTGAAAAAGCCACATGTGGCTCCAGAGCCGCAGGTTGCTGACCTCTGATCTAGGAAAAGAAGCTGTTTTATAAAGTGATTTCCTTTGGCTCCAAAATAGTTTTTTTTACTAGAGTTGCACTTTGAATAAAATCAAGAGGAATTCATATGATTTATAAATGCATTTTAAACCGTAGTAACAAGATAAGCATCAATGAGCAGAAACAGAGTACCGTGAAAGTTATATTTAACAATTCTCTGAATTGCTGTATGACATTTGCATTAAGAAAAATCTGATCCTTTGTCAGTGTTGTTTTTTATTATTTTATTTATTATTACATGTTCTTCTGTAGAGTTCCAACAGTGGAAATGTTTTCTAAACTATACCTGCTACTATAATTTTAAACTGATGTTTGTTTTTCTTGCAGGGATCATCTTTTAGCTGTCAACCACATGAAGCTTACAATCTCTTTTTAACAGCAGCCATTGGTGATGGCATCAAACTTTGGGATTTGAGAACACTGAGGTAACAGCCAGTCATTTTGCTGTTTGCCATGTTTCTTTTATTACACTTTACAAGTGCTTTTTAATATATATATTTTTTGCAAGAGTTCACACTTTGAAGTTTGCATAGTCATGGAACTTAAGCACAATTTGATGAAGTTTGGTTAGTCCATCTTGGAAACAGCTGCTTAGAACGCCTCAAAAATAAGGCAACATATACATATTTCTGAATAAATAAGTGTTTGCCTGCTTAATTTATCCCCAGGCATAAATTATCTTATGATTTCTGTTAGATATCATATAATTTAGGAAGTACAAAATTGCAAGAATGATTGTGGGGTCATATAAAAGTCAGAATGTTTACTCTGTGGCATTTTGTCTTCCTCAAATGCAGTTGTGCTTTGGAGACACAGCGTCCTGAATGTTTCACACAAACAACCAATAAAGATTTTGTAGTTATTTAGGAACATGATGAAAAATAGACAGTCTGCATTTGTCCTTGCATGAGATTAAACTGGGAAAAAACATGCAGAATATTGCATAGGTTTCTTAGTTTAAACACATTCTCACCAATAAAATCTAAATATTGCTGTATTAAAACATAACTTAGTCATGTGATGAACTGCCAATGACTGGAAAAAAAACTGTTATAAAAGCTTGCAGAAAGACAAATATAAAAGAAGAAATTTCATGAGGAGGAATGATTGGGAGCATGGGTATGTGCCACATAAGTCAGACAAATATAAGTACAGGGAAAAACTGATGTATCCCAATTGGCAGAATTCCATGACTATCTGATGAGGTAAATTGTAATCTACAAAAACATATGTGTAATGCATTTCTTCCTCTGAGACACCACAGGATTTTTGTTGATTATAACTGAATATGCAAGTTTATATTATTTATGATATAACTACTTATAAATTGATTCTTGACTCTAGTTTTTGTTGTTATGAATGAAATGACATTGTTACTCCCCCCCTCACAAATTTAAGTGACATATTTTTTAAAAAAATTGCAATGAACTTAACAAACTGGAATGCACTTTTTTATCCTTAAAAAGTGTTCAATTGTCTGAACTGAAAAACATTTCAATATAAGGTTACAAACTACAGAAGCAGTACAGGAAAGTACACATGGGAGATCTTTGTAAATCATTAAATGTCCAAGTCAAATGTTTTGGAAAAAAATTAGTCTGGAAGAAGTTGGAGACAACTCTTAAAAAAAAAAAACCAACAGAATCTTACCTTTTAAATAGGAATTAGCACATTTTTTGAAACAATAATGGCTTATTACTGCTAGCAAATGTCTAAATATAGTAAAATGAAATATGTGAGATAAAAGGTTAACTGTATTATATCCTTACGTTTTTTCTATCAGTTGGTTTAACTACTATTCATGAATAGTAAAAAGTTAATTTTTTTAACAGGTTACTTACTTGCTATCTCTTTTTAAAATATTAATTTAAGATTTGAGGGGGTATGGTAAAATAGTTAAAATACTATCTGTGTAATTTATATTGTAATCCTAAATTATATAGTATAATATGCTATACTGTTGGTTACTTCTAGAGTATTTTATTTCCCCCTCCTTTTTCTCCCTTCTATTTATATTTCCTCTAGTTTATATTGTCTCTGTCAATACTGTTGACTGGTTTAATTTAACATCATGGTAGTGTGCTATGATCTCAGTAGCAGTTGACTTTGTGGGGCTGATACCATAGATGGTCTTGTCCATTTTGGCTCCTAATACTAAGGCTAGTAAAACAAATTAGTGGAAATTTTAAAATCTGACTTCCAAATTATGTAAGCATTCTTTATATAAAAAATAGTGTTCACCAGCACTTTGGTTCAAATGTTCTAGTAATGAAGCTATAGAAGTGTTTCAAAATATTCTATCAGAGGCAACAGCCATTGCTTGGGTGTAAATTTAGGAAGGTTTTATATAGAAAGAGAAATAAGAATGTAGAAATGGTTGGATCATGCCAAAATCCAAACTACACATTTTTTGGTTTACCAAATTCTCCCAGAAATGAGACGCTTGCACACTGAAGTAGTTCTCTCTTTTTCTCATCCATGGTAGTCAGGTGTATGGTCCCTTGGATCTTCATGCCTAGTTTCGTATCTGCACTAAAAGCACAGTTGTCTCACAAATTACTAGAATTATATGAAGAAGATAACAGTCTTTAATACCAATCACTTTTAAGTTATGATGGTAATGAAAAAATAACTTTATAACCAATACTCACATTTATCACTTTCGCAGGTCTATAATCATAAACACAGTCTCAATTTCAGTTAGTCACCATTTTGTTTATTGGCTGAGTTGCCAGGCTCAGTAGTGGTTGCTAAATTAAAAATTCCTATACAGCAGAGGTGGGTTTCAGCAAGTTCTGACCAGTTCTGGAGAACCGGTAGCGGAAATTTTGAGTAGTTCAGAGAACCAGTAGTAAAAATTCTGACTGGCCCCACTCCCATCTATTTCTGCCTTCCAAGTCCCAGCTGATCAGGAGGAAATGGGGATTTTGCAGTAACCTTCTCCTGGATTGGGGAGGGAATAGAGATTTTACAGTATCCTTCCCCTGGAGTGGGGTGGGAATGGAGATTTTACAGTATTCCCCTGTCACGCCCACCATGCCACACCCACAAAGCCACACCCACAGAACCGGTAGTAAAAAAATTTGAAACCCACCACTGCTATACAGTACAAGCTTATGGACTGAGCAAAGTAGTGAGACACCAGTTCTTGGAGTGAGGATTTAGAAGGTTATGGTGGGAGAAACATAGGCAGGATGATACATAGATGCTTCAAGATGCGCTGGATGGGGTAATTTTATCTGTGAAAACTCAGAGCCTGTGGGTCCTTTTGGATTCCCTTATGAACCTGGATATCTAGGTTTTTGGGGTGTTCAGAAATGCGGTGGCACAGTTAAGGATGGCGACTAATTCTGTGCATTCATGGAGATGTCAGATTTGGCCATGATGACACATGCTATTGCAAAATGCCCTTTGAACTACCATAACATAGTCTGAGAAAAGTACTCAGAAACAGAAAAGAGCTAGTCCAAAATGCTGCAGCCAGACTGATGTCTAGAACTGATTAAAAGGAATATGCAATTCCATTCTTAATACCCTTCCACTGCTGGCAGTCTGTTCCTGGAGCCATATCAAAATGTTGGTTATGATCTATAGTTATATATAACTTGGACCCAATTTATTTGAAAGATCCTATTCTCCCTTATGAGCCAATTCATACTTTTAAAATTGTAAAAGAAGTCATTCTCTCTGTGTTGCCACAGTTAGGGGTACCTTCTGCTGCTACTGGAATTACTTCTGTGTTTACATTTTACAAATGTAATCTTTCTCTAATGAGCCACAGGGAGGACAATTCTTTGATGGAATGTTGGAATAAAAATGCAATAAACAAGTGATAATAAATTTTTCAGAAGCATAATTTTTGTAAAGAAAAATCAGGCAAGTCATTAAAGAAATTATTAGTGAAATAGTTTGTCATCTATTTCTAAACTTATTTTGGAGCAATTTGTAATGTAAAGAGCATAGAAATATTGACAAGCTGGTTTGCTTTAGACTCCCCAGATATTATTTCGGGCATTTTCTGCCCATATCCTGCTCATAGACTGCATGTGAAGCATATTAACTACGTGCCAGTTATCCCAGTCTTTCTTATAGCACCTAAAAGTTATGTGACAAGGATTTAATTGCATAGAATACCACCAGTAACGTGATTTCTTTGAAACATTTGTAAGTATTTCTACTTTCAGCAGTACGTGGCATTTGAATTATTGATTGCTTCTACGTTAAATCAGAAGGGAGGAAAAGATACAGTACATGTCCTTCATGATCTATGAACATCTTGATCCATGAATGTTTATCCACAGAGATATATGAGTCTGGATTTCATAATTGTATATTATGAGAACTATTAGCTTGAATTTCATAATTGTGTATTATATTATGCTTCCATTGTAAAAAGTTGATTGATGTGTAAAGGTTTTTAATTGTTTTCCAACCAAATTTTAAAAGCAGCTTAGATAAACTATTTCTTCACAAATAAGATCTACAAGCCTTGGGACTTTATGCCTTTGGAACATACGAAATGGGTTTATATTTCCATAAACCAGGAGCCACCATCCTCATATATAAAGAGTTAACAAATTAGCTGTTACTACAATGTAACAAATTTTCATCTATTAATCAAAGAGATAATATGTGAGTGAGGTTTTGCTTAGAGTTCCATCTCAGACACAAAAGAAAGAAGATATTGTACTCAGTTATGGAATGCCTAACTGTTTAGTAGTAGGAACATTTATTTCCTTTATTTTATCCGGATGATTTGTTGAATATGTTCTGTAGCATATAATAACCACTGTGAATAAGATACCCAGCGGAAAGCCTCTTACAAATTTCTTTTGAGATAAACAATTTCTTACTGAAATAGATGGGGGCATTGTTTTTCTTGGTTAATCTCAAAAAACTAAGCAGGATGGAAAGTGATTAGCTGTTCGTTGGGGAGCCACTGGAAAATCCCAGGACTATATGGTAGACCGGAAAGCCTTGGAAAAAGATCATGGCAAATGGCTTCCATATTATTGCCAGAAGGACTAGTCAAACTGGTCTCAAGAATCTTTCCTATATTAAATTACTGTTATTAAAGACAGTTTTCTAAGTTATTTAGTCATATTATGCTATTGTGTCAGGTTTCAACCAAGAACAACAATCCAGCCAAAGTTCAGTTGTTTATTTGCTTATGCCGTATAGACAGAATCTTGCCAGACAAAACCTATACTCCCCTAACCTATGAACATACCCTGGGAGATTCTAGGGAATAGCTATGCTCAATCTCTTTCTCCCGCCATGAGCCATCTCTAAACTCTGTTGTTTCTTGTCTCGCCCCCTCCACTCTTCCATGGAATGTGTTCCCTCCTTCTTGGGAAACTGCTACATTACTGAAATCCATCACACCACCTCCCCCTTCATAGATACATTCCATTGCATAGTGGCTATTAATTAAAGTTTCTTAAATTTATGTCTTAAAGATGTCATATAGAACACTGTTGAAAAATTTCTGAACCTGTATAAGAAACTAAAAATGATATTGGAAAATAAACTGATGCAGGTATTCAACGAAAGATAACAAATCCTTACAACTCATTGATCAAATTTGGGAAAGGAAAATAATAATCTTCATGTCAATTGTCTGTTTTTAGCTAAATTAGGAACAGTGCCCTTATTCCAATTTACATTTCTTGAATGCACTCATGTACGTACATATATGACTAAGCGTACACATATTTTCTCATACAACACTATCCTTATGTGTACTAAAAATAAATTTTAAAAAATATACTAGGACTAAATAAATCAACACCACAAAATATTTGGAAACATAAGCTGATTAAACATAAACTGTATTGAATTTCTCTTCCTAATCACAACAGATGTAATGCTCAGAGAACAGCAAATTGAACATATAGAAATAGTGGAATAGTCCTAATAGTCCTAATAACGTAAAAAAGTCAATTCTGCATCTAACACTGCAAGTCCTAATTAAATCTCAGGCAGATACTATTTCCTTGAGATACTTAACATGAATGCAACTTTTTCTGTTATATATAGTTTTTTATTTTTATAGTTTATTATATACATACATACATACATACATACATACATACATACATACATATATAATTGCTGGCTGCCAGAAAAAAAAAAAGCCTAGAAACTAGTGGATTGTGATTTCACTGAATTAGGGCTGCATAAAAATCTTGGTTTACGTAGGAAGAACCTGGCTAAAGAGAAATACACATAAAGCCTACGAAAAGGAAAGAAAACAAATATATATGTGTATGTATGTATGTATGTATGTATGTATGTATGTATGCATGTATGTATGTTTTCTGAGGTTTTCGCGGGTGTTTGTATGTAGGTCTTTGGTTATTCGGGTTTTCTCCCACGTAAAATTGGAAGTGTCTTGGCGACGTTTCGACGAAGTCTCATTTGTCATCTTCAGGCTGGTGTTTTCGGCTTCATGCTACATTGCTCCTAGAAGCACGAAGCCGAAAACACCAGCCTGAAGATGACGAATGAGACTTCATTGAAATGTCACCAAGACACTTCCAATTTTATGCGGGAGAAAACCCAAATAACCAAAGACATACATACATACATACATACATACATACATACATACATACATACATAAAATAAACTATGAAACTATAATATAATAAATATATAAACTATAAAACTATTGGAAGACATATATAAGCAGAAAAGTTTCATTTTAAGTATCTCAAGGAAATAGTGTGTGTGTGTGTACACACACACACACATATATATATATATGCCCTATATATATAGGGCACGTAACGTGTGTGTGCTTCCGAACCGGTAAGGTTCGAACCGGTAAGGAAGGTAAGTAGATTTCACCCCTGATATATATATAGTTATATAGTTGTATGTACATAATACCTTCATAAAATTCAATAATATTTTAATTTAAAAAAACTATTTAAATAAGAGATTTTAAGTATTTTGTAATACACAAAATATTTTTTAAGCAACCGGAGCATGTTACAGTATATCATATTCAATTCAATTCATTCATTCATTCATTAATTCTATTGGCTGCCCATCTTACCTGTTGGACGTTGATTGTAATGCAGAGATAAATAGAATATGCACTTCATTGAAAAAAATGAGTAAATTTAGAAGCAATTATTTTAAAATTTAAAACTTAAATTTATTGAATTTCTGCAGGTGCGAGCGTCGTTTTGAAGGTCATATTAGCCGCTGTCATCCATGTGGAATTAGTGTTTCTCCTTGTGGCCAGTTCATCGCTTGTGGATCTGAAGATAAATGTGTATGTATAGTAGTTTACTTCTGACCATATGTGGTATTCTAAGAGTTAACAACTTTCATTTAACCACCAATACAATCTGGTGTACAGACATCTTTCCAGGAGTTTATTTATTAGATTTTTTATCCCACCTGTACTATTTTTTTATAAATAGCTCAAAGTAGGAAACATACCTAATACTCCTTCCTCTTTCTAGTTTCCCCATAACAACTCTATGAGATACGTTGGACTGAGAGAGAGTCATTGGCCCAAAATTACCTAGCTGGCTTTTGTGCCTATAATCAGTTTATTCACCAGTTTATTCAGCTTCAGTGGGCTGAACGGGGAGCTCTCACCCTCCTAACCCCTGGAGTTAATCCAGGGGTTTCCGGGGAGCTCTACCCTCACCCACCTGCTCTCCTCCCCTTCTTTTCCCGAAGGGGAGATTTTCAAGCCGTTTGACAGCTGATTAACGCTGTCAGAACGGCTCAACGGGATCGCGGGGGCGGCGGTCTAAAAAGACCGTCAATGGTGCTGCGGAGCCAACCCGGACTTCCGGGTTGGCTCCGCAGCATTGTAATTGTTAAAGTAGTAACACGGTTGTTAAGTGAATCTGGTTTCCCCATTGACTTTGCTTGTCAGAAGGTTGCAAAAGGTGATCACATGACCCCAGAACACTGCAACCGTCATAAATGTGAGTCAGTTGCCAAGCATCTGAATGTAAATCATATGACTAGCAACACATTGATGACTCTAAACTTTCTCACTTTCATAAGTGTGAAAAATGGTCATAAGTCACTTTTTTCAGTGCAGTTGTAACTTTGAAAGGTCACTAAAAGAATTTTTGTAACTTGAGCACTACCTGTATGGGCACTGCTTATACAAAGTTCTCCATAAATTGAAATTCCAAATTTGTGGAATAGCAACACATTGATGACTCTAAACCTTAAACTTTCTTCCAAGAACAATAGTATTACTATTGAATAAATAAGTAACTAATTGCATACAAAAAAATGCCTTAAAACTGACTACATCTCCAATATAAAAAATGGTAATAAAACAGCCTTTTATAATCATCCACTGAAATCTCCAGTTAACAGTTTTTGCAGTTTTTAAATAGTATAAAATACACCTCACATTTCTTAAAACCTGGAGACATGTATTTTACAGAGGAGACCAGTGATCGCTAATCTTTTCCGGATTGAGTGCCCAAAGTGCGTGTGCGCAAATGCATGCATACATGCCCAAATCCCCAAAATGCAATGCGTGCACACCCCCGTGCATGCACGCACAGCCCCCCGCATGCCCCCACGATGCGCTTGCGGCCTCCCAGCATGCGCCCCACCCCACAGCATGCGCCCCACCCCAGTGCATGTGCGGCAGAGACCTGACGACCAGCTGGCTGGCGGGAAGCGCACGTGCATGCGCGGCGGAGCTGAACTGGGGTGACGGCTCACATGCCTACAGAGAGGGCGCTGTGTGCCACCTGTGGGATGCTGCCATAGGTTTGCCATCATGGGAGTGGACTATTCCAATTCTTTATTCTATATTTGTTATGTGTAATTGAAATTGATTTTTGTAATGTTCAAATATTCATGATAGTAAATTGCTGATTGATGTTTATCAAGCTTTCTTCAATACACAAGTGTTTCCCAGGTTCTGGAAGCCATGAAGGCCCCTGTAGACAGTAAGAAAGATAACCTTGACAGAAATATATAAAACTGTTGCTAATAAAGGAGAATATTTGTACCTAGGGTTGAAATGAGTATACATTGATGATGTTACCTTGTATGGATAATGAAAAGTCTGCAAGAAAACAACCACGCTCAGAGAGCACCAAAACCCCCTCATGAACTGTTGACAAAAGAGGCTGCACTTTTTAAGTCCTGAGAAACAAGATAATATGTGGCAGCTGCTCAAGCAGACACCTTTTTGATTCACTGGAATATAAAGAAGAGGAGGGGGGAGTACAGTATAATCAGACAAGATTCTGTTATTAAAGCCAGTCCCAGTCAAAATAATCCTAGTCTTCCCATGGAATTGATTTCTTGGTCTCGTCTACCCATATAATGTAACTAATAAGTATTTTAACTGTTCATATTGCCGTTCATTTGTCTCATCAAAGTTATTTTCCTTTTGCTGTGCTTCAAAGGTTTTAAAGATACCGTTATATACACTGCTCAAAAAAATAAAGGGAATACAAGCAGAAGACATCCGAGATCTGAATGAATGAAATAGCCTTATTAAATACTTTGTTCTTTACATACAGTAGTTTATACACTGCTTAAAAAACTAAAGGGAACACAAAACTACTGTATGTAACGAACAAAGTATTTAATAAGGCTATTTCATTCATTCAGATCTCGGATGTCTTCTGCTTGTGTTCCCTTTATTTTTTTGAGCAGTATATATTACCTGACAGTGAGCACTAAACCATCATGGCAAAATCTGCCCAAAAAGATTTTCCCAGCCATTTTTAAATGGGGATTACTCTGCAGCCTCACTTTGTTATGAGAGTTGGACTCAGATTTTAAGATTCTTCCCAATGGAATGAATTGTTTTATTTGTATTGTAGTTATTTCATAACAAATTAAAATTACAGAGTAGTAAAATAAAAAACAACGAATAAGACAATAAATAAAATAACAGCAGATATACCAAGTTAAATAAAACAAAAATGGCAGCAAGTACAATATGTACTTTCTTATGGTCCTAGTTATAGGTGCCAGTATGAATCAATTTATCTCACTTTGGTACAGACCAGACAAAACTAGTAAAAGCCTTTTCTGTTCTTTTTCCTTTGATTTATGACAACAGAAACAGGACATTAGCAACATTCTTATGTATCTTCTTTTTAAGAAGACAAGGTTTTTCTGCGGTTGAATAGTTTACATAGTTTGAGGATCCCTATCCTAAAACAAGGCTACATATTTTCAGTTAAAATATTTACTAATGTTTAAACATAGAATGTTATAGAAGTAACACAGGAGACTTACATATAAATTGGGTAAATAGATTGTGCTGATATATTTTTGAAACATGATAGGAATTATTGAAAATAATATGGAAATACTTGAGTAGAAAAATGGCTGTTCCAAAAAAAAAAAGATACACCCAATACTTTTTTTTTTTGCATATTTTTAAATGATACCTTATTGAAATGAATACATAATGGAGATATATAATAGAAATGTACATGTAGTATGAAGCAAGAATAGAATCATAGGATTGGGAGAGATCTTGGAGGTCTCCTAAACCAATGTCTTGCCTGTGCAAGAATACTCATAGCATGCCACAACATGACTGTCCAATCCTTTCTTGAAAGATGCCAATGATAGAGCGTCCATGACTTCAGGAGGCAGGATGTTCAAGTTCTCATTGCTCTTTTTATATTTGTGGTGACCAAAACTGGTCACAATTATTTATTTATTTAGTGTATGTCACCAAGTCACAGTATTTCAAGGGCAGTCTGGCCAGGATGAAAAAATAGTACTAGCACTCCCTGTGATCTTGACCTTTCTCGGTGAAGACTGCATTGACTCTTTTGGCAATTGCAACATATTGCTAGCTCATGTTTAAATCTGTGGTCTTTAAGATACTTCTCACAAGTACAATGGCTAAGTCAGGTATCACCTAACTAAATGAGTGCATGTCTCAAAGGTGTTTTTTCAAAAGACAACTGGACTTTTTTGTTTCTTTGAAGACATTTCGCTTCTCATCCAAGAAGCTTCTTCAGTTCTGAGTGAATACTAGGGAATGGAAGGATTTATATTCGTTGCAGTTATCTAGTCATTAGCACTCTTTGTGAGAGTTGTTGAGGCCATTTGGAGGTTTATCTGTGCCCTCAGAGTCACATGAATAGTGCAGATGGATGTGGAAACTTCTTCCAACTGCTGAAAGGACTGTGTTGTGATCATGTACATTGGAGAAACAAAACAACCACTTCACAAACACATGGCACAACATAGAAGAATAAACCAATAAGGGCAAGATTCAGAACGCTCTCAACATTTGAAAGACAAAGGTCACGCTTTTGAAAACAGCAAAGTCCACATTCTGGACAGAGAGGACCCTCTGGTTTGAAAGAGGGCTCAAAGAGGTCATCTACATTAAGATTGAACAGCCCTCTCTCAATAGAGGGGGAGAGATATGACAGCACCTATCTCCTGTTTACCACTCAGTTCTTTCAGCACTTCCAAAAAGGTTCCACACCCATTTGCACCATTTAGATGACCCTGAGGGCACAGATAAGTCCAAAATATACACTCGTCTAGCAGCTAACATACAGACAGCTTCTCATTTGCCAATTGTTCATATAATCTGGATGCAAACAAAGAGTTTATTTTCACATTTAGTCAAAAATATTTTATAGATAAGTAGATAATTTCAATTATTTAAAAGTATTTTGATATTATTTGTAAAATAATGTCTGAAAAATAGATACACGTGTCTGAAAGTAGAGTTATTGAAATATTAATATGAGCAGTATTAAATAGTACTAGACATATGATACAATTAATATCAAATGGTGAATTGTTTTCAGTACCTGTAAGTCATTTATGGCTCTTGCTGATTGCTGGGACAAGTCCTTGTAGTTTTCTTGGCAACATTTTTTGGAAGTGGCTTGCCATTGCCTTGTTTATTGAGGGCTGAGAAAGATCATCTAGAAGCCCAAAGCTTCTAGTTGGCTTTATAGCTAAGCCAAGACTTGGATTCATTGTCTCCTAGTTTCTAGCTGGTACCTTAAACTGCTAAACAGAACTGGTTCTCATTGGTAATATTAAATACAAGATATATGTGTCTTTTATGAGTAATAATAAAAATGTGATCCAAATAGATTTTGTAAATTCATTTTGTGTTCAAAATGAATAAATGTATAATTTCTGGAGAAGGCAAGTCTATGTATTCTGGGAATATTTTATAGACATCTCTTTTTAAGGGTTTTAAGAGGTTTAAAAGAATCAATGTATTTCTGTGAGAAAAAGCTTATTCCAGTAGCCAATAATGGTACACATTGGGAACTTTTATTTTTATATCTTATAAGTCTCCAGGATTTATGCTAATCCTAAAGTTCTCATAGTTAATGCAAATGAATAACAGCAACTAGCAAATCAAACCTCATTGGGTTAGTGTCTGCCTTGGCTGCAGTTGTGGGTTTCAAATCCCGTTGCTATTGGTTTGCTTGTGGATGTGTGCACGCTTGTGCGCGCGATGCTTCTGCGCATGCGCAGAGATGGGTGGGCGGAGCCTCCTGCCACCGGCACTACCGGTTCACCCAATCCGGGGCAAACCGGTAGCAACCCACCATTGCTTGGCTCCAGTCAAGCAATAGAATGTAGCATTAATAGCAAGTGAGTCCAGACTGGGGTCAAAATAGTCAAGTTGTGGCTATGACTGTATGATCAAAACCCTATCCCTTTTTCATGTGTGTGTGAATACATGTAAAAAATTAAGTAGAATTTAACTTTTTTTTAACCTTCCTCTCCCCCAAATGTCCTTGAGCAAGCATTGGATTGTTGTTCAGTATTATCTTATGAAGGGCTGGACTTTTGACAAGTGTACATTTTGCTAAAAGGGATTTAAAATAAAAAACTCTTGTTCCTTGGTTGGCTATTGGAAACTTTAAATATGTGTTCTTTTTCAGGCTTATATATATGAGAAGCATTCTAGCACCTATTCTTATAAACTGACAGGACACACTGAATCTGTAATCAATGTGGCTTTTAATCCATCATCTCCCCAGGTATTTTTAACTTTTTCCTTTTCCTTACAGATTTTAATTTCTGAATGTTTCTTAATCAAATATTGCATTGCCTTCATTTCTCAGCATTTTTAAATTTCCCATTATAATTCCATTAAGGATCAATTATTTTTGCTGTTATGGTTAGGTCAAGTTGGCAGTATAACACTTGGTATCTGAAAAAAATGCATATAATTTCTGATTATCTGGAGGAGCAGGGCATGATCATTGTGACTTCGGGCTTTTTTTAAAATTTAGAATTGAAAAAAATCCAGACTACTTAAAGTCTATATAGCAGGGCTGTCAAACTTGGGTTGTTATGGCAGTGTCACGTGATATATTGTGATTTCCCCCCCCCCCTTTGCTAAACCAGGCTTGGTCAGTGTGTGATGCATCTGGCCCGTGGGTCGCAAATTTGACATCCCTGGTCTATAGTGATTAGTGATTTGGAGATACGTGTCCATTGGTTGTAGGGAAAAGTTGTAAGGTTGTGCTTACAATTAAGATTTTTATTCATTAGTGTTTATTTAGGGGTGGCTGAAAATAATTGTTTGTTCAAATTTTAGGGACAAATAAGAAATATCTGTAATTTCTTGTGACACATATAAAAAACTTCATTAAGAAGAAAGGTAAATACAAAACCTCTGTTTTCTCTGATTTTTATTTTTAGGAAGAAATTTTTTAAAATTTTTAAATGTTTAATTGGTTTGTGGTTTTTTAAATTTTGGGCCAAATTTATATAGATTTTAATTGTTTTTAATATTTGTATTTCATGTTTTTAATTCTGGCTGTGCACCGCCCTGAGTCCTCAGGGAGAAGGGTGGTATATAAATTGAAAAATAAAAATAAAAATAAATAAAATTTCACTTCATTTATTCATTTAATAATCAGAAACACATAATTTCTCACAATTAAGTCGCATTTTGTAATGTTTCAGGAAATCTTTTCTTTAAAAAAAAGTTTAACAAGTTTGGCCTTGTTTTCACATTGGTATTAAGTATTGGTATTACTCCTATATTGCATATTTTGGATCATATGAAACATTGAAGCTTTTTTTTAATTAAAAGACCTTGACCCACATAGTTCTAACTGCAATAATTAGAGGTAGAAAACTTTGATATCTGATATGATAATAATAGGAATAGTTCCTCCTAATTGAATACTGATTAAAACATTAGCTCAATATTGGTTTCCCAATATTCCAAAATTGAAACTACTAAATTTATTTGTAAATTATTGACCTATCATCCATCTTATTAATGACAATATAGTTAGCAGAAAGAACAATAATAATAAAAAGACAAGGTTAAAGTTTCAAAAACCTCTGTTAAACTGTTATCGTAATCAACTTGTAGAAAATTTACCATGGCATCTTACCTATCCCAAATCACCCCAAGAATTAAGTGTAATTTGTTCTGCATCAAATATACACATTTGTTTCTTAATACCATCTCTTATCAATTGTTGTCTATTTAAATATAATAATTCAGTCTCCACAATCGACTGAATATAATAATTCAGTCTCCAACAAAGTCCATATGAAAGTAGTTTTCAGTTAATTGTGACAAATCCATTCCCCAATGTCCTTCAGTCCTCCTAGGAACTTCTCTGAATGTTTATCACTTCTCCATTCAGACTTCTGCTATCGTAAAAGAATGCACCCTTGAACTTCAGAAAGATATATGGAATCAGTTGATTCTACTTCTGTACAATCCATATCTCTTTCCAGACTTTCCAAGAGGTCTGCAGCTTTCAAATCACATTCCTTTTGTGAATTTAGTTTATCAAGAGCAACATGCATTTTAATATTTTCCACTGCTATTATCATTTCATCAAACCTTTTAAAAAAGCTTTCAACTGAAGGCTGCATGTAATCAAAAGGTCTTTTCTGCACATTAGCCATCCTTGCTTGTCAGTAATCTGAATACTTTGCTGCTCTATGTAACTTTGCCAGGAAACAAAGAATGCTAAGGAAATATATTCTCTGGATATTTCTATTCAAAATTAAAAGAAAATTTAAAAAATAATGAAGTATTTTAATTTTTTCAAATTAAAAATGCAAAAAGTCTGTGGTAAGAGTCCAATATTAATGTAAATCAAATGAAAGCACTTTCACCATCCAAGGACTCACCATGTTTTTCCTTTTTTAACCTGTTTGCAAAACAGCATTCGGGAAGCCGGTACAATTGCTCATTTGCCAATTTGCGTGAAAAAGAAAGCACAGTACCTACAGAAAATAGCAGTGATAACTGATACAGCTCATGACTCTTGCTTCCACACACCAGGCAGGAAGTAGCTTAGCTTTCGTGTGTCCCAAATGATTCTCAAGGACATGTGCTTCACCCATCACTTCCTACCCTCTATGGACTCCCACCAATAAATCTTTAGTTACTTATCTACTGAGATGCCATCAAGTTGCTCTGACATCTGGTGATGACTGCTATTTTATTGGCTAATTAATTTTCAAATCTCCATGATTGGAAGAATTTAAAAAAAAAACTATGCTACAGTGGGATATCAGAACACTCCAATATTCTGCGAATGAAACACTACTTTAATGACAAAAGTCATTTTGTCATTAAATATTTTATAATATGAGGTGGTTTGTTCAACATTTTGAACATTCAAAGGACCATTTTGAGTTCAAAACATTGGAATAATTTGCACATCCCTCTGAAAATGGATATTTGAAAAGTTGCCTTGCAACGAGATGGGTGGCAAACAAATGTAATAAATAAAATAAAAAAACAAGATAAAAGTATTTAAAAAATCTTTCCTTTTTGGACAGGAGAAAAAATATGCCCAATTTAATTTAAATTGACAGATCTGTATGTATTTATATCTAAACATCTGTTTATACATGAATATACCGGTAAATAAACCACAGTGTTTCCATTTATAGTGCAAGTTTTATTTGGGTGCAGCTGACACTGAATGATGTTCAGTTATTGAAGTTTAGTTTTCTACATTTAGCATTTTGCATCAGTAATTTTCAGCATGCCAAGATGTCAGAACTAATAACTAAGGTATAATAAACATGCCTATTTTCTGTGGACAGCATCTGCCATGAAATAATTTAAAACATTGTATTCACTGAAGGAAGTATGATCTATTGAATAAGTGAGGCAGAAGCTGGGGTAGCTTCATTCAGAAATAACAGTTTATGAATAAGGGTATCATCACTGCAGCCACCATATTTTTGTTTGACAGTGCAGCATTTCTTGAGGATTTTTAAAAAATTCAGACAAACTATTTATTTTATTAATTAAATTTAGATGCCACCTAGCACCAAGTGATACTAGATGGTAATCAAGGATAATAAAAATTAATGGAATGAAATGAATTATATCAAGGGTAATAGGACATCCCCAATGAGTATCTGTTGTTATCTTCCAACCATATACATATTGTGAATGTATAGTTATCAGTACTGGATATTTTGTTTATTCCTTCTTATCTTAATAACAAAATTTTGGAATATTATCTAAACTAGTTCTTTGACTATGTGGAGTTGTAGTTACATTTATTATTCCTAGTATTACCTTTTCTGCTTCAGGAATCATGAAATCGCTTTTATGTACTAAACAATTGAGATCAATTTCACTGTAATCAATTCTATGGCTCAGTAATTGGGGAGGTCTGAAAGCTTTGACTCAAACATTTTGTAAAATGATTTCCTTTATATGCTTTTTATTTGTTCCCTGTTTTAGGATAAGGAGGCTTGTTATCTCACTGCCAAAGAAAAGTTTAGTAACAGATGCTTATTTATTTATTTGTATATGTATAAAACAATAATCCAGCATCACCTTCTAGGAACTACCACTATCTCTCATGCTCACTACAGCATGGGAGAAGCAGGTGATTTTTTGTGCAGGTGAATCAGAGAGGCAAGGTTTGGGTAGAAAAGATGGACTGAGAGGCCAGAGCTGCCCAGGAGATTAAAAGAGAAGGCTGCTGAAAATGAGATCTGGTCAACAAGATGAGAGATGGGAAGGGAGGAAAGAAGGGAGGGAGGGAGGGAGGAAGGAAGGACTCTACCATGAAGGGAGAAAGAAGAGAAGGGCAAACCAAGAGAAAAAAGGCCAAAGGAAAGAAAGAACTCTTACATTTGTCACAACAAAGCAAATGCATCAGATAATGGACCAAGCTCCAGAATGAATTGAAATAAATCTGTATCTGCTATTTTCTTGACTTTATCTGTAAGTTATGTTTCTCTCAGAAACAATATGCGATCCCTGACAGCAGGATGCCATATAAGGAGTCCTTAAAAAAAAAGGGCATTTTAAACTGAGCGCACAACTGGTTGCTGTTGCTTCCTCACTATGCATCACTCTAGTCCAAGGGTGTCAAACTCGTGGCCCGTGGACCAGATACGTCACGCGCTGACTATACCCAGCCCTGGTTTAGCGAAAAAAGTCATGATACGTCACGTGACGACGCGAGTTTGTCACCCCTGCTCTAGTCAGTGGTCAGAAGGAGAGTTGCTGTTGACTCTAAGAGGGAGCAATATGTTCTTTGCATTAGATGACCATTGCCCCTGGCAAACACTGGCATAACAGACAGACAGTTGAAGAAATGAAAGAGGAGCTATTTTGAGATGGAGGGCTCCTGAGAGTTAAGGATAGTAGAATGGAAATATAATAATTAACCTCCAGCTTCAATTAAAAAAACATGCCTTTTGTTTGAAATGGACTAAAAGACTTCAGGATTCATGTCAGTAGCTATTGGATAGAATAAACTCACTTCAGGGTAGATAGAGTAAGTGCTCAAAATAACAAGGAGAAAAAAATCAAATAAGGAAATAGATTTTTTTTTTAAAAAAACAGTTCCAATGTCTAAAATATCTAAGTGCCGATTGTTGGCAACACATATCAACCCTTCTAAAAACCTGCAATGACTGAGTGCAATATTCCACCTTGAAAGGAAACATCAGGAAGTGGTTTCCTGTGCAAATCTTATAAAAATGAAATCATTCAACTTCAAAATATTGATGGCAAACCTTG